TGTCTGATTCTTGAATTTCTTATCCAGCTCAACCTTAAAACCAGGGAAAAATTTCAAGTGATCTCAAGGTCTCAACAAGTGGTGTCCTAACTACATAACAATTTTTGTAGTTTCCTTTCTTTTTTCAACCAAATCAAACAAGAATGAAAAGTTTGAACATCCACATGATAACTTAGCGAACTGCTGATGAAGACTGTGTGATTCGATGCAGAGTAAGTGGGCCTTAATTGTTAAGATTAAGATTGTTTTGACAACTACTGTTTCAAGCTGTCAGGCTTAAATTTATACTCCTACTTTTTGTGCTCCTTGTTGAAGGAGTAGCCTTCCTGAGGACATGAGATGTCCTTTTAAAAGAATACTCAAAACTGAACATTCCCTATTGCTTTTTAGTAAGGAATATTGTCTGAATAGTTGCAATGGCGTGGTTGAAAACCATTGGTTGTCAATTGTTTTCTTTAACATATGCATTTAATGCATGCAAAATGCATTTTTAACAGCATCCCTGGTAATATGATGTTTGATCTTACTTTATAGACTTTATATATAAAGTGTCGATCAAGACACTGAACCCTCACAATTACTTCCCTTTAATTTACTGTGAATTCATTTAATCACAGTCATTGGTCATTTCAACAATCTCTTGAATAGCAGTAAAACTAAATACAGTACATATATTTTCAGAGCTTAATGTCTAGGCTCATCTGTAAGATATCAAAATAATAATAAAAATCAATATCAGATATTATTTACACGTAAGTGCAATCAGGTTTGATGACGAGCAAGATGGATAAACATACCCAAAGGGAGTCTTCTTCATTCCACATGATGACCAAACCCAGCTTTGACTCGATTTTGACATAGGAGACAATTCTTTCAATTGAAATGCCAACCTGGCTGAATGGTATATTGACACTAGAGGAAACAAGAAAAACATTCCAGTAAGATGACCAGACAATAACCATCACTGTCACCAGTACATCACCTGATAAAGAAAAGTTATCAAAGCAGACTCACGGTTTATCATTGACTTTGATGGAAGTATTGACTAACTCCACAATGACCCCGTCCAGTTTCATAGTGACCTTCTTAATGGTGGGGACCCCATTTATCTCATGCCTTTGCAGCTGAACATTGAATGCCTCGTAGTTGCTCTTACACTGGGACACAAGGATGTAGTTGCAAGTGGAGGGAAGCTGGAAGAAATCTCCATCGAAAGTCTTAAATTGGTAATATCCCCATGTGCTGCAGCACTGGTCGTTGTGAGAGGGGCTAACTTCTAGTTTGTGGAGAAAAAAAACATTCATTACACTGTAGTTCAAATAGGACATGATTTTTGGTTTGTTGTCTTTAACAAAAAACTAATTACCTGTAATTACTGGCATTTTGGTCACCGGATGAAACATTTCTTACAAAAGAGAAAGACATTTATATAGTCACTGGACATGATCAAAAATATCAGACAAAAGGACACTGTTTGTATTGTCCACTAACTAACCTTTATACTTGATGGACAGTGCAGGATAATAAGGTTGGATGTGATATACAGTATGAATGAATACAGTGTCCCATACATACCACTGGCCTCTGCAGATAGTCCAAGGCAGAGGGTTAGCCATGGTATCACCCATCCAAGCGGCATCCTGGCTGTTCCAATGATCATGATTCCTGTCCTGAGAGGGATCGAGCAAACGGACATCGATGTCATTAATATAGGTCATTGGGTGTTTGCAGTTTAGGAGTGGTAAAAGATACATTATGGGTGTCAACCACTGTGGTTTTCGTCTTCATTAAGATCACACCCATGAAGAGGGTGCTTAAAATAACACTCTGACATGAAGCATCCTATCATTCACTCTATCTACATAGCACCATATACATACAACAAATATTTGAAAATTGAACTGCCATACAGCAGTTGCAGTTGATGAATCATCAGTACACTAAACTTTAATGATGGAACACTTCATATTCAGGTCATGGTTTTTATGTGAGGAAGAGGAGTATGTGTGTATATTTAAACAAGAACTGTGTACTTTTTTCACCAAACCAAAACATTTTTAGATGTGGGTTTTGGCTCTGTATATATATAGTAAGTAAATCCACAAATAACTGGACAATACACTGACCAAACATTTGCCAAAGATGTTGCCTATGTAATGTTTACTGACATGTCTCGCATATCCCTTTTTTTACCAAGTATTACCAAGTATTGTTCATACACACTGAGAATTTAGAAATATACAAGATCTGATATAATCATTGGTTGTGCTTTCAGATTAAGGTAAAGAAACTGAGATAGTTACAAAGGTGGGGTGGATGAAACTAATACTGTTTTTGAAGCTGGCTTTCTATTATGATATTTTTATTTTAGCTCTAGGGATTGTGGGAGATAAAACCCTCAGAACAGGCCAGAGGCCTAACAGGCCCTCACTCTCACACTTCATTCTCTTGGATGTAACTGTCCCTTAGACTTAGATGAACTGTTGTCTTTTCAGTATAAATGGTATTCCTTTTAATGAGACAGATTACAGTAAAATTCTAATTAACTCAAGTTTAGTGATAATTTCAAGAAAATAAACAACAAACATAACATGTTGACCTTCAGCCTCCTCACAAGGGCCCCTTTGTGTTCATAAATCGAGTCTTCTTCCCTTATCAGGCCCTCCTTGCAAAGGCCTCCTATGTTAGTTTACTCCTATAGAGCCTGGCTCTAGGTGCTATCAACTTTATGTAAGAATCCAACAAGGCCTCACTGTCTCTCGTTTGGATGTCTAATTAATTTTTAATCATGGTCGTCACCCCAACTTCCCCTCTGGCCAACACAGTTTGACTGGGTGGGTGTGTGTGTTGTTGTGAAGTCCAAAGTCTGTGTCTTTCTACAAACATGTAAAGGCCACAGAGAGTAATAAGACTGAGCGAGAGAACTGCACCACAAAGTTCAGTGTATCTTTCAATAAACACCTTAAAGATTATTCTAATAAACATGTTAATCATTATCCTAATCAAGCTAGGCATATAAGATTCACACATCAGGGCTACCTGAAAATATTCAAAAAGATTGCCATTAATTTTTGTAGAGATTATAGCTCTGTTTCTTGGCTTCACATCATCTCTTGGCTCTCTTTCCTACTGCACCTGGATCTGGGAAAGTCCCGGACTGCCTGCTCCTCCTCTCTGTGTCCTCCGCTTGATCATGCTATTTCATCCATAACCTGACTTTTGTGGAATAAACTGGTGTTGTTTGTGCTCCGTGCTAGAAACAGGACATTCTTACTGTGATGGACTATATTGATGTATGTTTTGTAATACAATTTTCACAAAATCTGCTTCTACATTTTCCTTTGCAAGTGTTTTTGGTGCTGTTTTGCTATCCCACTGTGCTTCCTCCCTCACACAAATGTGCTACTGCTAAGCCTGGGCAGTTAGATACAGAAAGGAGCACACACACTGAGAACCATAGAGTTTTAACACTACTTTACACTATACAATAACACTTGAAATTAAAGCTGCAAGCAGCGTTGGGCGGGCCCTCGCACTTGTAGCGCAGTAGCACATTTGTGTGAGCGCGTCCGGGTGTGAGCCGGCGAGTTGCATACTCTCGAGCTCTGCCGGTGCGGCTGTGAATTTGCAACGCGGTTCTGACGCCGCATGAAGGTGCAGAGCTCCAGAATATGCAACAAGTGCGAGGGCCCGCCCAACGCTGCTTGCAGCTTTAATGTTGTTTTTAATTGTCTTTGTAGAAATGTCTTTACTTTAACTGTCCTCCATACTTGAAACAAATTTTAGTTACTTGTAGAGTTCCATATCCATTCAGGCAGATCCAACATCCCTTTTTTTTGTACCAAGAACTTTTACTGTTGCTGGACGGAAATCATTTCAATGTAAAACACCATGTGATTGGAATGATCTTAATCCTACCCTACGGTCTATCAGCACTTTTTGCAGCTTCTTGTTGTCTTTAGCTCTGTCTCTTAAAACAGGATGTTCATGTTATTAATGCTATCAGGTATAACTATTTTGGTTTGTTATACATAAGGCTTACACACAGAGTAATTAATAATTAGATTTTTTGGGGGGTTGAATGTTGGTATATTGGTATAATTGTAATTATAGGATTGTTTAACTTGTTATTTTTCCTTGTATTAACTGAGGATGTTGGGTGTGGGTGAGAGCGGGTGTGCATGTTATCTGTATATGTGTATGTGTAATTTATGTAGTTTTGTGATGTTCTGTTTTGTATTTGTTCATTATGTATCTGTTTTATAGGACCACCTTGAAAATGAGATGCTGCATCTTAAGGGGCAATCCTTCAATAAATTCAAATATGTCTATGTTCTAATTGAATATATGTTAGTACATATGTACAATATATGTTGAGTAAAATGTATATATACTGTATTTCACTATGTGCATTATTCACTGTATACTACACTATGTAAGAGATCAATTAGATATTTGTCTTTTTATATTTGTGTTTATATTAGATTGTCCAGCTTTCCAAGCATGTATTTATTTAACACAAAATACGAGTTTACTTTCACATGTGAATAATCACAAAAGAAAATGTATCCCTTTGCTAACATTGGTACATTGGTTCTATATTTATAAAGTTGTAAAAGGCAAAGAAACCGTTATCTTGTCAAATAAATGAATAATAATCTGCACGGTTATTATTTATAATTATAACTATCAATTATAACAAAAAGTAATATCACTAACAGCCTAAATGCTACAATACAAATTTAAATTGCACAAACAAGACAATAGAAAAAATGAGACATAAGAAACGTTGCATCTTTTTACTTGATCAATGGATATAATACTCTCTCTACAATTACATTTATTTTGAAAGAGATTAATGATTGTGAAGATAATATACGATTAAACTTTTACGTCATGGATACATTTATGTGATGACATATTTTTATTAAATCAGTATGAAGCGTCGCCTCCTGCGAGCAGGTTGTCCAGCAGCTGTGGTGCAGTCTGTGGAGCTACAGCTACAACCCTCCACATGGATGTATGTGTAGGTAACCACATCTCCATTCAGGCAGTGCAAGTCAATAGTGCGATTGCTGAAGCTTGTTTCCTTACAGCAGGAGCAAGAATGCTGCAGAGTTGATGCTTTTTCAGAGTATCTGAAGAAAGCAGGTGCAGGATTGATTACTCAAAATCTGCAGAAACTACAACTAAAACATTTTTAGTAAGTGTGTGATATTCCAGAGGAATGAGAAATATTAATAATCATACTTACTTGGTGAAAGTGGTGCAGGATCCTTCACAATAGGTCATATTTACTTCCTGGTATGACTGACAGTTCCCGAACATAATCTGAGTTTCCATGGATTGTAATTTGCAGGCCTTCTCCTTCTCCACACCTTTTCCAAAGAGACACACCCTTTATTTTATTGTTATCATTTAAAGGTTCAGTGTGAAGTTTTGGGTGAATTTCTGATGATCTATCGACAGAAATGTAATATAAGATCCATAACTATGTTTTCAGTGGTGTGTAAAGACCTTACGTAATAAATCATTATGTTTTATTACTTTTAGAAGCTGCCATTTGAATTTACATAACCTTTGGTCACCCCTTCCATGTATGTCGCCACGTTGCATCGTCATGTTTCTACAGTAGCTGAAAACCAAAAAACTGCGCTACAAAGCGTGTTTTGTCACTACGTTCTGCTTGTTCTACTTCTGGTAGAATTCAGACAGTGCAAACATTTCTTACTATGTTGAATACATACGTTAAAAGAAGAAGAAGTAGTAATAATATACTGCAGGGGTCAGCAAATAAGTTTTGCATTGGAACAATATTTTCAACCATTAGATGGTGGTTGAGAATATAACATAAAATTGACCTGCATCAATATTTTATTTGGTTAACTTAGTAGGTAAGGTGCAGGACTTACATCCTGAGGGTTCAATTCCACCTCAAGATAACTTTTTTTTTCTCTCTTCAACAAAAGGATTCTACAGTGAATGTTTCTCAGATCATGGCTTATGCTGCACTGTTTTTATTTTGGTGTTTGAGCTGCATCCACCAACCTACGTGGGCTTTTGCAATTCCCCAGTATCTCCAGGCAGAGGACATTTAGGGGAATCACGTTTTCTGGCGGCTCTTTCACAGGTGTGTCAAGCAGGCTACAGACTCTTTTAATGTCGTTCAGAATTTTTCAAAGTAAATGCTCAGTTCAACTCCAAATACTGCATTACAGTAAACAAGTTTCTCGCGCTTTTATTTTATAGGCTAAAACACTAAATAGGAAGTGATTATGTGAGTAACTGTTGCTGTCATGACTGAGATCTATTTCAGCACGGCTATCAAAGTATTTATTTATTTATATTTTTTGCCGCTATCAAAGCACCATAATCTGGTAGTGGGCCAGATATTATTGTTGGCAAGCAGTTTTGGAGAGGGTCCATAATCACAGAGAGAATTAATGTGTTTCTCTTGTCAATGTTTGTATAAACTTTACTTAATGTGTGGTTTATAATGGACTGTGGTGCAGAAACAGTGACAGTAGCTGTTTCTCAATCTGCGTTCTTGTCTGTACTTGTGTTCTTGTGGACTTGTGAAACGTCATCACTAGCAGCCAAAGTACTGTTCCAATTCAGAAGTCCATGTGTTCTCGTTCTGCCTGTTTTACAGAGCCTGCATTGATGGTGACTTGTGTGGACTTCGGATAGCCAGATATTCCAGAATGCATTTTGCCGCCAAAAAGCAGAAATTGACGAGAAAACTCACAACTGTAACTTATAATACTTCTGTTCTTGTGTCACATATAGTTGTTTTAAGAGTTTTTTATACGGGAATATAGTTGTTTAAACTCCAAATATGTGGTTGATTTCTCAAGACAGAGCTGATTTATGATGTGAGGTCCCGCCCGCTAACGGGTCCGGCCTTCATCAAATCTGCTGCTGTTCTAATGTGTGCTGCTGTTCTAACGTGTGCTTCCGTTCCTGGGAGTTTGTACTACCGAGCCAAACTTGCCAAGTCCAAGTCTTGGCTTACATTTTCCATGTTATCTGTCAGTGGCCAAGTCACAATAACATATGTTTTTACTGAATAATTAAGTAAATATCATTTCTTAATAAATATACCCAAAGAACCCCAATTTCTTGACTGACTACTCTCAGAAGAGACACCTTTTGTGCTGTTGTCAGCCACCATAGCTGTCCTACACTCTTTGAAAGGTTAGTGGGCAGTGGTAGACTGGACAGTTGGTTGCCACGAAATCTTCCACACTGAACCTTTAAGTAACTTCTAACCAAAAGTGAAGAAAATGTCATACTCACAAATTTTACAACAGCCATTTGCTGCAGTCTGAATTGTGTCCTGAGGAGGAAAATACACAACATTTCAAACTATTTTGAAAAGGAATTATGTCGTTTGCTTTCAGAAAATGATTTTGTAAAACATCAACAGCATTTAATTAGCCAATGGAGAATAATTGATTGAAAGTGATACTTACAGGTTGGCAGTCACTTTGCTTGAATGGCGGGCAGACAATGTGTGATCTGGTTGTTGTTAAAGTCTCACCACTTTTATCACACGTGTAGTGCTCACACTTATTCTCAGGTGGTGACCAGGTTTGTCCTTGCTGGAGAGCAGTGAGATACAGACAACCAAACAAGCCAGAATCCACACAGATATCAAAATACTGAGGTACTTTAACCTATTAAACATGAACATGTGGAGTCATAGCCAACAGACCCAACTTACCATCAAGAGTTGCTTGGTACCATTAATGTTGACAACACACTGTGTCTGTACACACTTTCCACAGCATTTGTCCGAAACAGTTCGCACATATTCATATCCCTGAGAAAAAGGGGGTTGGATTTTTTCATAATTTTTTACAAATTCACCCTCCCAGTAAACATATTCTGAGAAAAACAAATTGCATTGTATCTAATGTGTATACAATCTTTCTCACCTTTTCACAATTTTTTTCACATTGCTGAAACTCACAAACTATTTTGAATAGATTAGAACTTGGGTCCACCACATTCGTACAGTTGCAACTCTGACATGTAGGTCCAGGAACCGAAGAACCAGGCTAGCAAATGCAAAGAGGTAATGTTCATGTTTGTGTTTTAGCCATTCAGAAGGGCAGCAGCAAGTCATAAAATCATAAAAGTAATGTGTTGATGTTCTCAGTACAATTCCTTTTCTTGTTTACCTGGTATTCACTTTCTTCGTGAACACAAACTCTTTTAGGCTCTAGAAAAGATCGAGACAATGGAAACTGTGTTAAAAGTGTCACTGCCATCAATACGTTTTATACAACTTCAAACTGTGAATATATGAGCTCACCACATGTATGTTCTGGACAGCATTTCCCTTCAGGAACACTGACAACTAAAGTAAATCCAACCGGACAGTTCATTCTTGTGACTGGGCAAGTGTTGGATTGACATTCTGTAGAGATGATTAAACATTAATTATTCAGAGCAATTTTCAAGAATCACCATCAGTAGTAATCTGAAAATGTTAAAACTCAAATGTGCATAGAGGTTACGTGTCTTACGGCAAACATATGTAGAACAGCAGGGGTCTATGGGATCCGGTTGTTGGACAATACCGAACCCTGGACCAGTGCAGTTTATTAGAGGTGGTGGTGGGCACACCTTAGGCTTGCAAGACACAGTCTTGGTGGACTCCTCACAGATGCAGTTTAGGCTTTTGTAGACAAACATCTCGTTAAACTGAAGAAAAAAACAGAGTAGTGTCATCAATGTCTCTTGCAAGTTATACAACAATGGTTAGGATTTTAACTGAACATGAGAAGAAGGCTTGGCTGACCTTACGAGGAATGCCCTCAGGATCAAGACATCCTGTTGGAACACAGTTATTAGCAATTCAGGGCTTCATGACTGACATTATGTTGACCAATCTGCTGGCTGATTGATGTGGTGCGCTCTCTCTACAAATGCCAGCATAACTTCTGTGGCCTAGTCAAAGTGAAGATTTTGATTGACTGATAACAGTTGGCTATCACGCCATCAGACTGATGAAAGTAGTCTGTTTAAGTGGGTATTTTCTATACGCAAAACCAAAATTGGTTATGATGAAGGCTTACTTTCTCTGAGAGAAAAAACACCAACAACACACAGCTCTTGACAGACCCACAGAATTGCTGACATTGTTTTTCAGAATTTGTTGGGTTTTACAGGTTATTACAACCAAACTGCAATACATTATGTTTTATATTGAGTCAGATGGAATAAATAATTTAATAAAAATCTGAAAACACGTGAAATTATAGTGCTTGTGGCCGTGTTTGCCCCCCAAGAGGATCCAAGGATGTAACCACCAGTTCTATAAGTTGTTAGCTGGGCATCTCTACCAACTTATTCTATACTCTATAGATTAATCTGGACTTAAACAAACCACACTTACCACAAATTTCAACACATTTGTCAGAGTATTTGCTGAAGAGTTTCATTTCATCAGGACAAAAGCAGCCCTCAGTAGTGAAGTTCTTGGTGAGTTTGTCAGGACTAGAATATGTAGTCATCAAGAAAGAACATTAATAAAGAGTAAAACAGTAAAAACAAACTTAAAATCTAGTACATGACAGACCAATATTATGCAAATATGTAAGGAAGCTGAGAAGGCAAATCTATAAAATGTGTTTTAAGGCATGATGTAAAGGCTGAGAAAGAACCAAAAGACTGAAAACTAACTGGAAGACAATACTGAGGCAAAAGATTCAAGTTAAAAACTGACATGATGTATTTGGGGCGGCTGTGGAGGCTCAGGAGGTAGAGTGGGTTGGCCGTTAATCGGAAGGTCGGTGGTTCAATCCCTGGCCCTCCCCAGAATTGTATGAATGAGTGTGAATGTTAGTTTCCGTTTGAGCACCGTTCCGGTGTAAAAGCATCTTACATGTAAGAAGACCTCTGGAGCAACTAAGGCTGAAGTGTTGGTGATGGAACAGTGGGTAAGACACCCGCCTTTGGTGTGAGAGACCACAGTGCGAATCCACTGTGAGACACCAATGTGTCCCTAGTTGCTCCAGAGGCGTGCGACCTCTGATATATAGAGCAGTTGCATTCACACCCACCTGCCAGCCAGTTCAATGTACATTGCCTTTACTGGATTCAAGCCTTAATTAAAGCTGCAAGCAGCGTTGGGCGGGCCCTCGCACTTGTAAGCGCGTCCGCTGGCCGAGTTGCATATTCTGGAGCTCTGCCGGTTCCGACGCCGCATGAAGGTGTTATATGTCACTTCCTGTGTCCCCTATGTGGAGCTACATAGCACTTGCCGCTATGAATATAAATCGGTATTGGCGTGTAGATGTCTGCGGGGTGGGAGAGTTATCAAGCACGTAAAGTTTGTTTCAGATGTGAGCATGTACACTGAACAATAATGTACCCAAACTATAAAATAAATTCCTTTTATATTTCCCTGCCTTGTTGTTTATGTGTACATACAGAGGAAGAATGTGAGAACAGCACACATTTCATCGTTACTGTATGTTAGAGCATGGGAGAACAGTGGATACTTTTAATACAGCCCACACCCCTAATACTGTGTAACTATAACAAGTAGAGAACAGAAGAAAAAGATGTTCTTTCTTTACAACTGTCTGCATAGCTTATTCATATTGTGTAATGAATGAAAATAAATAGGCCTACTAGGCTCCTCTCTACTTTGACATTTAAGATTAGCTTGTTTGATCCACCTTCATACACACGTGACATTACTGTACAACTTGAGAAAGGTGAGTTGTTTTCTGCTCCAGCCTGCCTAAAAGAAAAGCGTTTTGGGATTAAATGGACTTTATTAGCTGCTGCAGTGCAGGATGAACTCAGAATAGACCCATTTCTCGCCTTATTATTCTAAATCATGCAATGAAGAAGAAGAAATGCATAATAAATCCTGGGACAAAATCTGTCCACAAATACTGTACTGCATGTAGTCTAATGAACAAGACTTGTGTTATAGCTGACTTGGGCAGTGAAATGTTTAATTTTTTTAATTCATGTGGTCATAGTTGTCCACAACTCAAATCAGAATATAAGAAGAAATTTTTAATACCACCTCAAGAAGGCTTCCTATCAGAAAGGTAGGAAGGTATTTCAAATATACAACTGCAGTACTTAAATCTAAGTAAAGTAATTTCCCTGACATTTTTGTGTTACTTTACTTTTAATAGACGCATGTAACAGGTTTTATACTTCCCTATTGAATTTGCTCGGATTATTATTTATTTTTTTTTTTTCTGCAAAGTAGGCCCAATGACATGGCCTAAACATACTCGAAAACTCACCAAAATTTGCAAACATGTCAGAACCGGTGAAAAATTTCGTATTCTACAAGTTTCGCACATGGGCGTGGCAAAATGACTCGCTAGCGCCACCTAGAAAATTGGAAAAGATTAGCCCCTCGTTCACGTTCAACCTACATGTACGAAATTTTCTGGGGACATGTATCGTATCAAGACGCACAAAAAAGCCTCAAGAACCCATAGCCTAAAGTCAACAGGAAGTCGGCCATTTTGAATTTTACGGCCATTTTTGGATGATTTACACACTTCGTACTTTAACGAACTCCTCCTAGGGATTTAGTCCAACCGACTTCAAAGGGCATTGAAGATGAAAAGTTGTGCTATTTGCGAGTTTTCGTCAATGGGCGTGTCCGTGGCGTCAAAGATCAACTCTTCGCCATGACACAGGAATGCTGATTTTCACCCACAGTCATAGCGCCACCTGCTGGCAACAGGAAGTGACTTTTAACGAAGCAGCCCCCGCCGCACGTTTCACCTACGTGCACAAATTTTCTGTGGTACGTGTATCTTGTCCAGACGCACAAAAAAGCCTCTTGGAGTGATGCCCTAAAACCGACAGGAAGTCGGCCATTTTGAATTTTACGTCAAATTTTGGATGATTTACACACTTCGTACTTTAACGAACTCCTCCTAGGGATTTAGTCCGACCGACTTCAAATTTGTGCTGTGCCTTCTAAAGGCATTGAAGATGAAAAGTTGTGCTATTTGCGAGTTTTCGTCAATGGGTGTGTCCGTGGCGTGGCGTCAAAGATCAACTCTTCGCTATGACACAGGAAGTTGTTGTAACTTCAGTGTACATGCTCACATCTGAACCAAACTTTACGTGCTTGATAACTGTCCCACCCTGAAGACATCTACACGCCAATACCGATTTATATTCATAGTGGCAAGTGCTATGTAGCTCCACATAGGGGACACAGGAAGAAACATATAGCACCTTCATGCGGTGTCGGAACCGCGTAGCAAATTCACAGCTGCACCGGCAGAGCTCCAGAATGTGCAACTCAGCTGGCTCACACCCGGACGCGCTACAAGTGCGAGGGCCCGCCCAACGCTGCTTGCAGCTTTAATTTAAGACTGCATTTGTAATAAATTATATTAACCGCAACTACTCTGTTTCCAGTCTGCTCATTGGTTCCTAATTAATTAAATTGTGTCTGCATAATATCACTAATTGCCGAACTGATTTTTGAGATATACAGTATGTCATCTCTACAGTAGGAGAAGAGAATACATTAATTAAAAGATACAATTTTCTGTTTGATGGATATAAAGAGAACCAGTCCAGAGCTATTATGGAAATACTCACCCACTATTTTAGCTCGTTCACTAGCATTGCATGATCAATAGCGTTGAAAGCAGCACTTGCGTCAAACAGCATCAATACAGAGGCATTATTAAGTCCTTAGTTAACCTTAGATGAGCTGTTTCAAGGTAGAAGTTGTGTAATTGATTTCTTTGAGAATTAAGAGTAATTCTAAGATTCTCCTGAAGTTTTAAAACTGACAGATAAAGGCCAGGTCCTATTAGCACTGACTGAATATATTTGATTTTTAAATTGTGACACATATGGAACAAAGAAAACTGTTAAAATATGGTGCAAACTAAACTAATACACCGTTATTTTTCAATAATAACTATCCTATTATCCAGTATGATATGTATGTATGATATGAACACAAAACCACTTATTAGGCTTCTTTTTAATTAAAACTTACTTGTCTTCACAGGTTGGCTGTTCTGCAGGACCACATGGCTTGTAAACTTTGCTTGATGGGCAGGCAATGGCTGTTAGCAAAGACAATATCTCAGTACAGTTGTTAGAATGTTACATATGTACCGCTTACAAACTGAATATGATAAAATGTAAAGTAACCTTTGCTTTCCTGAAAGGAAAGAAAAATAATGTAAAACTAGAACTGCAAGTAGTTGTAACACCACATAGAGGCTGATTGACGCAAAATTTCACACAGCCTGTAGGGATGGCAGGCCAGATAAGTTCCCCGAGTTTGGTGTAGATCGGCCATTTGAAACCTAAGATAACACATCACATCCAGTTTTTTGCGTTTAGGCAAAAATTTGTTAGCCTATAATTAGGACGTTTTTTGGCGCTTCCAAATTCCCTCTACAAACTTTTATCAGGTTGGTCCAGAGATCTTCCTTCCCAAGTTTGGTGCCGATTGGACTTTTGACCGTTTGGGAGGAGTTAATTAAAATAGGTTTTCAAGTTTTTGTGATTAGCAAAGCGTCATCGCACAGAGGCGTGTCCTATACCATACGAATCGGCAAGATCCCCCAAACACATAGATATAAGGTTTATGAATGTGTGATGTAGTGGGGGGTAGTTATGAGGCAAAATGTCCTTTGGTTGAAAATCCCATTGAAATGAATTGGATTGTCCGATAGAATTTCAGTTCCAATTATAGTGCCACCTATAAACCGAATTGCACCAGATTTTTCAGGTGTTATCAGGGGAACAATTTGGTATCAATCGGAGTTGTGGTTGTGGAGATTTTTTTGAATAGCGCCAACTAGGGGCTAACTATACCAAATTTTGCACAGCACCTCAGGGGGCATGCCACATAAGGTCCTCAAGTTTTGTGTTGATCAGCCTTTCCAAGCCTGAGATATGTTATACTTCCTGTTTTTAGCATTTTTGCAAATATTTGTTAGCTTCTTGGGACATTTTTTGTCAGATCAAAATTTCCTCTACAAACTCTCTTCAGCTTGGTCCAGAGATGGTCTGTGCCAAGTTTTGTGCTGATCGGTGTTGCCGCTTCAGAGGACTTATTTAAAATAGGTTTTTCAGTTCCCCTTCGAGGGAACTTGAACTGCGTCGATGACGACACTATGGGAACACTTCCGGGCGTGGCGGGGCTGAATTATGAATGAAACTACTCCAATTCTATTGGTGTTGCTAGAACGGTAGCATGTGACAGCGTAACTGGAGGCGTATATAAGCATGCCAGCACACAGGACACATTAGCTTTTTTCTATTCAGCAGCCACTCTGAGTATGTTTGAAAGCTCCACTATTGGAAAATCGTCTTACCTGGAAGTTCCCAACGAAGCAGAAGAGATCATGTCTGGTAAACAGTTCCGACAGTGTGTTTTTCTTTGCCCGTGCTACATCACGGCTGGGGATACTCACGAGATGTGTGTTTCCTGCCTAGGGATGTTGCACGCCCAGGCAGCTCTCGAGGGGGCTGCCTGCAGCCATTGCGAGGCCCTGTCCCTGAGGGTGCTAAGGTCTCGTGCGGCTCTTTTTTCGGTGGATGGTCAGATGCGCTCTCCCCGTGGGTCAGGCCCCGCGGTCGCTGAGGCGTCGCAGTAGCTGCGGTCCTGGGGATCCCAGCGCGATATCTCCGAGGGCATCGGGACGGCTGAGGTCCTTTGCCAGTCCTCGTCTGCTGACTCCCCCTCCCCTCTTTCCCGATCGGGAGCCCGTTTTTCGGCTTCTCCCGCACGAAGCATGAGTCTGGAGAGGCTTGCACAGTCTGACTCCATGGAGATAGATGTGCTTAGCATCATGGAGGATGACTTCCGGGAGCCGGGCCGACGTCATCAGTCTTCGCCCAGCTACGATGAGTTATTGGAGGTGGTGACGAGGGCTGCGGCCAAGCTAAGCATTGATTGGCCACAGGCGGTGCAGGAGCCACAGGCTGGCAGTAAACTGAATGAGCATTTTCTGCAGCACCGCGCTGCGCCCGCGCCGATCTCTGCCATTCTTTCCTGATTTGCACAATCTTGGAATCGACCCTTTTCTGCACGGCTGACTACTTTCCCTCTGCTGGATTACAGCAACGTGACAGAAAATTAAGCAGCACGGCTAGGACATCAGCTCTGGTGGGCAAGGCTTACATGACGGCGGGTCGAGCTGGTGCAAGCCTGCACACAATGGCCATCCTGCAGGCGTACCAGGCCGATCTACTCAAAGACTGTGACCGAGGGGGGAGGCCCCTCTGAGGAGGACTTAACCGAGCTCCGTAGAGCTACGGATTTAGCGCTTCGTGTCACCAAGGAGACGGCCCGTTCCATTGGCCGCTCCATGGCAGCACTGGTGGCTACAGAGCGCCATTTGTGGCTCAACCTCTCGGGCATCCAAGAAAAGAAGAAAAAGGCTTTCCTCCTCGATGCGCCCCTCACTACTACTGGCCTGTTTGGTGAGGCAGTGGTCACTGTCGTCAACAGGTTCCAGCACGTAAAAACGCAGGGAGAGACGTTTGAGCAGTATCTCCCCCGCCGTTCTGGGTCCAGGACGGCAACGGCCGAGGAGAGACGAGCTCAGCCCTCGTCTAGCTCCTACCGTCAGAGCCAGAAGTGAAGCGTCGCTTCCCGTGGTCCCCCTCATCCAACCTGGGACGCGAGGCGGCACTCTCGCCCACAGCCCCCTGAGAAGATGGATCTGAAGACTATCATTCAGTCTTGGCGGGTCCTGAGGTTTCGAGTAGGGGGGCCCACTACCGGGGACCTACGCATGGCGGAGCCTTGCAAACATTTCCCCGTGGGTCCTGCGCACCGTAGTGGATGGCTACAGGCTGCAGTTACGGGTCTGCCCCCCCAGATTCAACGGGGTGATCTGGACTGTGGTCACTCTGAGGTCTTGGAGTCGGTGGAGGAAAGCAGACCAGTTGCTGGTGTGTTTCGGGTCCCCCAAGGCTGGGCTCCCCGCTTCTAAACACACGATCAGCAGCTGGATCGATCAGACTATTTCCATGGCCTATCAGGTGCACGGGTTGCCTTCACCTAAGCCCGTGATGGCACACTCTACTCGAGGCATGGCAGTCTTTAGGGCCCTCCTCGCAGGGGCATCGCTCAAGGATTTGTGTGATGCAGCTGGCTGGGCCACTCCTCACACTTTTATCCGGTTTTACAGTCTGGACCTTCCTTCTGCTCTCCTCTTAGTCTTGCCTACAGGTTTCTGCACGCTGGGGGCAGGCGGGGGTTTCGGCGCGGCCTAGTGGGTATCTCGTTCCCATAGTGTCGTCATCGACGCAGTTTGAGTTCCCTCGAAGGGGAATGTCTTGGGTTACATATGTAACCTTTGTTCCTTGAGAAGGGAAGGGAACGAGACACTGTGTTTGCTTCATAGCAAAGAGCTAATGTGTCCTGTGTGCCGGCGTGCTTATATACGCCTCCAGTTACGCCGTCACACGCTACCGTTATAGCAACACCAATAGAATTGGAGTAGTTTCATTCATAATACAGCCCTGCCACGCCCAGAGGTGTTCCCATAGTGTTGTCACCGACGCAGTGTCTCGTTCCCCTTCTTGGGGAACAAGGGTTACATACGTAACCCGAGACGTTTTCCTGATTTTGTGAAATGAAAACGTCATCGCACAGAAGCGAGTGATTAGGTGAAAATGTACAGAAGAATAAAAAATCCTAACGATTACATTAGGGTTCCCAGCTCTGCTGGTACTGGGAACCGCGATGCCTTGCATTCGCTGGTTCCCAGCCTACTTCGGGCTTGGGCCCCTAATAATAAGTGGTTGCTTACCACATTGTGTGGTGTGATTCCTCCAATGAATGCAAACCCCAGCCTGAGCACAGGCAGCAGCATAAGTCTGCAAACTTGAGCACTCCACATTTGGGTTGGAAACATGGCAGCTATCAAAAACACAGCCTTGGTAGAAATTGCCAGGAGAGACAAAGCGATGGCACTCTGCAAAGACACTGTGAAAAAATAAACATAAAACAAGTATCTTAAATTTTGTTGGGTTTTAAAACACAACACTGACAAAATTGTCAATCAATTTATATTAATTGCTTATATTAATGTTGCGGGAATACATGTGAACTGCTAGAATCGATTAGAGAATGTCTACCTGCTCTTCAGCAGTTCACACATAGAGTTTGGATTGCTCGGGCATGGACTGGATGTAGGAGATGGCAGTACAGGTGGACAGCTGGGGTGAGAAATGTTTATTGCAACCCAGTAGTCGGCCATCACGGCACAACTTTCCACTAGCCTGCCTCCAGGTAACATGCAGTCATCAGCCTGGTTGTTATTGCATGTTCCTGACAGTAGAATCACAACACAGATAATATTACAGTGTAAACTCAAGCAAATTATTTAATAGGGCAACTGAGAGAGATGTTCGTACCACAATGTCCCTGTGTGTTTCTGCCAAAGAATTGAAAGGGCAGGGAGACACTAAAGCCAGTTATTCCAAAAAGAATGACCACTTTTATGTCAGGGATCTCCAACACTAGGTTAATGATAGAATTTGAGACTTCGACACCTTGTTGTGAATAAGGTAGTTTCAGAGGTGTTTCATCTTTGAGCACCTACAGGGAAAATATAAATATAAAATATAACAATACAATACTTTAAAACATTTTTATCTCACAAAAACTTTTCATGAAAATGTGGCCTATACATTGACAGTAATAAAATACTCCAATTTATTAAGTTTTTTAAAAACATGTACTAAGCTTTTCACCCTATCCACCCAAACCCCATCTTGTTTTACCTCCAAATTTGGTTTTCCAATGACGTTATGATTCTTCAGTTTGAAAAAATGTGATCCATAAAATACAATTATAGATCGTGGACAAGAAACATTGTCAGTGAGAGCACAAAAGACATTGTCAATATAAATCTTCAAGTTATATTTTGGTGAAATCTCTTCCATCAAGACATAAGTACAGTTTCCTTGATAAGAGTAGAAAAGTCCATCAAATGTGATGTAATGAGGATCTCCCCAGCCTTCACAAACACCTGTACACAAACAAAAAGCTGTAAGTTCTACAGTCATTATACGTTGTGAAGCATTCTTTTAAATACAAAAAAACTTACAGTCACAAGCGTAATGTTGGCAGCAGTGGTACTCATCGTACACAAGAACTGGTTCATTTCCATTGGCACAAGTGATCTTTTCCATGGGTGGACATTTAAGAGAAAATGTGTCAATCCTGTTGTTCCCAATGCATCTGGCCATGATGCAGTCGTAAAGATGAAATGTCTCATTTTGCTGATGTAAAGAGAAAAATGGGAGAAACGTTTTTTGCACAAGACACTTCCTGTTCTATGTATGACAGCTTATCCAATCCAATCCAACATTATTTATAAAGCACATTTAAAAACAACCACGTTGACCAAAGTGCGGCACACTAAAATTAATCAATAAATTAATCAATAACAAAACAATACGACCATAAAAGAGTAAGATACAACTCTTAAACTGGGTTAAGGGCCAAGAACTAAAGGTAGGCTCAATCCCCCCCTGTTCTTTTGACTTTCTAATATTTTGCTTTATGATCTGCAACCACAATGGCTGGCCGTCTGGTCGGCTGCAGGGGAAAGCTGTCTGTGTATCATACTGGGCCTAATATTGAGTAGGAATACAAGCGGTCCCTCCCAACTTGGACTGATCCTTGTTTTTGCTGAAATATGATCAACAGCTCAACTCCAAGAGGGAGTTTACTTTCCATCTGGGACGAGTTTAATGTCTAAACTTTTCACAGTCAAGGACAGGTGCACAATTAGTAATCCATTTATCATGTACTGAAATCATTTATATATGCATTTATAAGTAGGCATGTATATTTATACATATTATAAACAGTTTGCAATGTGTTATATCACACAAAGACAACATCTCTGAAGTAAGCTTCCGATTCAGCAGTTAAACGTTAAGTATGTAAGTTTTAGTGACACGTAGTGGTGAGGGTTACGAATTGCAACTAATTGCTCACTCACCTCTAACCTGGAACCTTCTCGGACTTATTACAGCAGCTCTGTACGGGATATACCGGAGACGTCGAAGAGAGAAGCTTGCCGGCGCACTGGTTAAACTGAGACAGTGAGGTTTTCGCACTGCGTTCCCTTCTATTCACCTGGGGAATGTCCGCTCTCTGGCCAACAAAATGGACGAACTGCTGCTCCTCAACAGAACTAACTCGGACTTCTGCAGATCTGCCACCCTCTGTTTTACCGAATCCTCGCTCACCTAGCATACTTCACCTACAGGGATTTAATCTCTTCCATGCGGATCGCGTAACCAAGCTCGAGGGGAGGCGGACTCTGTCTCTACATAAACGAAGGTTGGTGTACAGATGTCACAGTGTAAAAGAAATCTGGCATTCCTCACTTAGAGACATTTTTCATTAACTGTAAACCTTTTTATTCACTGTGGGAGTTTTCCTCGTTTCTGGTTGCCGTTTACATTCCACCTCAGGCCTGTGTTAGTGAGGCGTTACTACAGCTGGCCGACCAGATAACTAATGTGGAGAAAAAACATCCAGACTCACTGCTCATTGTTCTCGGGGATTTCAACAGAGCAAACCTCAGCCATGAACTTCCAAAGTACAGACAGCATATTAAGTGCCCCACCAGGGACACTAACATACTGGACCACTGCACAGTCACACCTCTCCCCCACTCCAACTTCAAACAGTCACCTTCCCCCACTGCCACGCTGTCACCCCCCCTTCTCTGACCCCTCGCCTGCACTCACAATCTGTGAAGAGGATGTGAGCCAGCTCTTCCAGAGGCAGAAGATCAGGAAGGCTCCTGGCCCAGACAGCCAGCTGGCCCCCATCTTCACACAGATCTTCAACAAATCGCTGGAGCTGTGTCAAGTTCCCTCCTGCTTCAAACGCTTCACAATCATCCCGGTCCCCAAAAAACCCTCCATCTCTGGATTAAACCACCACAGGCCTGTCGCCCTGACATCTGTAGTCATGAAGTCCTTTGAAAGACTGGTGTTAGCCCATTTGAAGGACATTGCAGGCCCCTTGCTGGACCCCCTGCAGTTTGCCTACAGGGCTAGTGGATAATGCAGGCAACTTGGGACTGCCCTTTTTAGTATTTTCACTAATAGTAATAAATGTTTTACAAATCTGAAAGTATCTTTTAAAGAAACTTTAGCCTCTGTGGGACAATCTAGTCCAGATTTGAAAGCTCTAGATACAGAGGTTTCTGATCTGGACCTGGTCTAATGTGTTCTCCATGTGAAAAAAACAGATAAATCACCCTTTATAGTACACATAACATGTTGGCTGAAGTGTTTCAGCTCAGGTCGAGGCAGATGGCCGCCCACCCTGAGCCATGGTTCTGCTCGAGGTTTCTGTCTCTTAAAAGGAAGTTTTTCCTTGCCTCTGTCGCCTAGTGCTTGCTCTTGGTGGGAACTGTTGGGCTTCTGTAAATAGCATCATAGAGTACGGTCTAGACCTGCTCTTTTATGAAAAGCGCTGTGAGATTACTGTTGTTGTGATCTGGCGCTATATAAATAAAATTGAATTGAATTGAATTGTCTGACCTATTCTTGTTCAGTGCAGTGAGGAGTTGCTTAAACAAACTGAGGAGGCAGGTGTCATCCAAAAGAATCTTGAAGGCCTTCAGCATATTCGGATTCGCTTTATACCACAAAAACACTATTAGTATTACAACTTAGAACTCTTACAACTCTTATAACTGCAAATCTTTCTCCACGTGCCCAAAGGGAGGATTAGGTTGTTTTGTTTGTTTTTTTAATTCTTCCATACGTTTTCACCTAATTCCCATAGTGCAGCCTAGACGGTAACTGCTAGGGTCGCAAAACTCACAGGACATAAAAGACATAAAAGACCTCTCCCTCTCCCAGGCAGTACAGGATAAAAGGGCTTTAGCTTAGTATAAAGCCTAAGTTGAACGAAACCAGCTTTCACAACACACGACACAATTCACCAGTTTAAAATAAGTCTATCTTGTTGCCAAGGTTTACTACAACAGACATACCATAGGGTTCCAAAGGGCCCAGGTCCATTTGAGTGGAATTAGAAGCACCACTGGGTCTAAATATCATGACCTCTGTCTGGTCCTTTAAATTTGATGAACATGATTCTATGTGTATCTTTGTGATTGATATGTCAGTCACTTACCATTTTATTCCAGGGACGGCAATAAGGAATAGAATTTGGAGTGGATACAGATTTACTTATTGTAGATGTGATTGTCTTAGTAGTAGGTGACGTTGATCTGCTGGTTGGGGTAGTTTTAGGTACAGTTTGCACAGTTGTAGATCCTGTGGTTGGCCTTTCAGTTGTAGTAGTAGGTGGTGTTGTCGACCTTGTGGTTGTAGTTGGTACTTCAGTTGAGGCGGTGGGTGGTGTCGTAGACGTTGTAGCTGTAGATGGCACTTCAGTTGTAGTAGTAGGTTCAGTTGGTGGTGTTGTAGTAGTAGGTTCAGTTGGTGGTGTTGTAGTTGTCGCTTCAGTTGTAATTTGTGGTGTTGTTGATTCTGTGGTTGTAGTTGGTGCTTCAGTTGTAGTGGTAGGTTCAGTTGGTGGTGTTGTAGATGTTGTAGTGGTTGGTTCAGTTGAAGTAGCGGGTGTAGTTAGTGGTGTTGTAGACCTTGTAGTTGTAGTTAGTGCTTCAGTTGAAGTTGCAGGTTTAGTTGGTGTTGTTATGGATTCTGTGGTTGGTGAAGTAGTAGGTTCAGGAGGTGGTGTTGTAGACCTTGTGGTTGTAGTTGGCCTTTCAGTTGTAGTAGTTTCAGTAGGTGCTGTTGAAGACCTTGTGGTTGTAGTTGGTGCTTCAGTTGTAGTCGTAGATTCAGTTGGTGTTGTTATAGATTCTGTTGTTGCTGTAGTCGTAGGTTCACTAGGTGTTGTTGTAGACCTTGTGGTTGAAGTTGTCGCTTCAGTTGTAGTTGTGGGACATGGTACATGTACATATACCATTTCACAACATTGTACTCTGATGCTATAGTTAAAGCACTTCCGTGGAGGCTTTTTCTGGTCCTTTTTTTTGCATGTTAAACCAGTTTTCACATCACAAGTAACATTTTGTCCGGTTTTATTCACAAAGTCAATGAAGTTCATTGTAGGGTCATTGGTCAATCTACATTCAATGTCGCTCGGATTGTCACATACCAGTTTACCGCTTTTTTTGATGTTCTCATATGTTTCCAAGTCACTGTGGTCAGTTTCTGGATCATACACATCATACCACTCTGACCACTTACATCTATTCATTTTAGTATTACAGGGAGCAGGAGTAGTTGTTGAGAGAGTTGTAGTTATTGTGATTGGTGTTGTTGTAGATTCTGTGGTTGTAGTTGGTACTTCAGTTGTAGTAGGTTCAGGAGGTGGTGTTGTAGACCTTGTGGTTGTAGTTGGCCTTTCAGTTGTAGTAGTTTCAGTAGGTGTTGTTGTAGACCTTGTGGTATTAGTTGGCGCTTCAGTTGTAGTCGTAGGTTCAGTTGGTGTTGTTTTAAATTCTGTGGTTGTAGTTGGTGATTCAGTTGTAGTAGTGGGTTCAGGAGGTGGTATTGTAGACCTTGTGGTTGTAGTTGTTGCTTCAGTTGTAGTCGTAGATTCAGTTGGTGTTGTTGTAGATTCTGTTGTTGCTGTAGTCGTAGGTTCACTAGGTGTTGTTGTAGACCTTGTGGTTGTAGTTGGCACTTCCGTTGTTGTAGTAGTAGGTTCAGTTGGTGGTGTTGTAGATTCTGTGGTTGTAGTTGGTACTCCAGTTGTAGTAGGTTCAGTAGGTGTTGTAGACCTTGTGGTTGTAGTTGTAGGTTCAGTTGGTGTTGTTGTAGATTCTGTGGTTTGTGTAGTAGGAGGTTCAGTAGGTGGTGTTGTAGACATTGTGGTTGTAGTTGGTGCTTCAGTGGTAGTTGTAGGTTCAGTTGGTGTTGTTGTGGATTCTGTGGTTGATGTAGTAGTAGGTTCAGTTGATGGTGTTGTAGACATTGTGGTTGTAGTTGGTGCTTCAGTAGTAGTTGTAGGTTCACTTGGTGATGTTGTAGTTGTCGCTTCAGTTGTAGTTGTGGGACATGGTACATGTACATATACCATTTCACAACATTGTACTCTGATGCTATAGTTAAAGCACTTCCGTGGAGGCTTTTTCTGGTCCCTTTTTTTGCATGTTAAACCATTTTTCACATCACAAGTAACATTTTGTCCGGTTTTATTCACAAAGTCATTGAAGTTCATTGTAGGGTCATTGGTCAATCTACATTCAATGTCGCTCGGATTGTCACATACCAGTTTACCGCTTTTTTTGATGTTCTCATATGTTTCCAAGTCACTGTGGTCAGTTTCTGGATCATACACATCATACCACTCTGACCACTTACATCTATTCATTTTAGTATTACAGGGAGCAGGAGTAGTTGTTGAGAGAGTTGTAGTTATTGTGATTGGTGTTGTTGTAGATTCTGTGGTTGTAGTTGGTACCTCAGTTGTAGTAGGTTCAGGAGTGGTGTTGTAGACCTTGTGGTTGTAGTTGGCCTTTCAGTTGTAGTAGTTTCAGTAGGTGTTGTTGTAGACCTTGTGGTATTAGTTGGCGCTTCAGTTGTAGTCGTAGGTTCAGTTGGTGTTGTTTTAAATTCTGTGGTTGTAGTTGGTGATTCAGTTGTAGTAGTGGGTTCAGGAGGTGGTATTGTAGACCTTGTGGTTGTAGTTGTTGCTTCAGTTGTAGTCGTAGATTCAGTTGGTGTTGTTGTAGATTCTGTTGTTGCTGTAGTCGTAGGTTCACTAGGTGTTGTTGTAGACCTTGTGGTTGTAGTTGGCACTTCCGTTGTTGTAGTAGTAGGTTCAGTTGGTGGTGTTGTAGATTCTGTGGTTGTAGTTGGTACTCCAGTTGTAGTAGGTTCAGTAGGTGTTGTAGACCTTGTGGTTGTAGTTGTAGGTTCAGTTGGTGTTGTTGTAGATTCTGTGGTTTGTGTAGTAGGAGGTTCAGTAGGTGGTGTTGTAGACATTGTGGTTGTAGTTGGTGCTTCAGTGGTAGTTGTAGGTTCAGTTGGTGTTGTTGTGGATTCTGTGGTTGATGTAGTAGTAGGTTCAGTTGATGGTGTTGTAGACATTGTGGTTGTAGTTGGTGCTTCAGTAGTAGTTGTAGGTTCACTTGGTGATGTTGTAGTTGTCGCTTCAGTTGTAGTTGTGGGACATGGTACATGTACATATACCATTTCACAACATTGTACTCTGATGCTATAGTTAAAGCACTTCCGTGGAGGCTTTTTCTGGTCCTTTTTTTTGCATGTTAAACCATTTTTCACATCACAAGTAACATTTTGTCCGGTTTTATTCACAAAGTCATTGAAGTTCATTGTAGGGTCATTGGTCAATCTACATTCAATGTCGCTCGGATTGTCACATACCAGTTTACCGCTTTTTTTGATGTTCTCATATGTTTCCAAGTCACTGTGGTCAGTTTCTGGATCATACACATCATACCACTCTGACCACTTACATCTATTCATTTTAGTATTACAGGGAGCAGGAGTAGTTGTTGAGAGAGTTGTAGTTATTGTGATTGGTGTTGTTGTAGATTCTGTGGTTGTAGTTGGTACCTCAGTTGTAGTAGGTTCAGGAGGTGGTGTTGTAGACCTTGTGGTTGTAGTTGGCCTTTCAGTTGTAGTAGTTTCAGTAGGTGTTGTTGTAGACCTTGTGGTATTAGTTGGCGCTTCAGTTGTAGTCGTAGGTTCAGTTGGTGTTGTTTTAAATTCTGTGGTTGTAGTTGGTGATTCAGTTGTAGTAGTGGGTTCAGGAGGTGGTATTGTAGACCTTGTGGTTGTAGTTGTTGCTTCAGTTGTAGTCGTAGATTCAGTTGGTGTTGTTGTAGATTCTGTTGTTGCTGTAGTCGTAGGTTCACTAGGTGTTGTTGTAGACCTTGTGGTTGTAGTTGGCACTTCCGTTGTTGTAGTAGTAGGTTCAGTTGGTGGTGTTGTAGATTCTGTGGTTGTAGTTGGTACTCCAGTTGTAGTAGGTTCAGTAGGTGTTGTAGACCTTGTGGTTGTAGTTGTAGGTTCAGTTGGTGTTGTTGTAGATTCTGTGGTTTGTGTAGTAGGAGGTTCAGTAGGTGGTGTTGTAGACATTGTGGTTGTAGTTGGTGCTTCAGTGGTAGTTGTAGGTTCAGTTGGTGTTGTTGTGGATTCTGTGGTTGATGTAGTAGTAGGTTCAGTGATGGTGTTGTAGACATTGTGGTTGTAGTTGGCGCTTCAGTAGTAGTTGTAGGTTCACTTGGTGATGTTGTAGTTGTCGCTTCAGTTGTAGTTGTGGGACATGGTACATGTACATATACCATTTCACAACATTGTACTCTGATGCTATAGTTAAAGCACTTCCGTGGAGGCTTTTTCTGGTCCCTTTTTTTGCATGTTAAACCATTTTTCACATCACAGTAACATTTGTCCGGTTTTATTCACAAAGTCATTGAAGTTCATTGTAGGGTCATTGGTCAATCTACATTCAATGTCGCTCGGATTGTCACATACCAGTTTACCGCTTTTTTTGATGTTCTCATATGTTTCCAAGTCACTGTGGTCAGTTTCTGGATCATACACATCATACCACTCTGACCACTTACATCTATTCATTTTAGTATTACAGGGAGCAGGAGTAGTTGTTGAGAGAGTTGTAGTTATTGTGATTGGTGTTGTTGTAGATTCTGTGGTTGTAGTTGGTACCTCAGTTGTAGTAGGTTCAGGAGGTGGTGTTGTAGACCTTGTGGTTGTAGTTGGCCTTTCAGTTGTAGTAGTTTCAGTAGGTGTTGTTGTAGACCTTGTGGTATTAGTTGGCGCTTCAGTTGTAGTCGTAGGTTCAGTTGGTGTTGTTTTAAATTCTGTGGTTGTAGTTGGTGATTCAGTTGTAGTAGTGGGTTCAGGAGGTGGTATTGTAGACCTTGTGGTTGTAGTTGTTGCTTCAGTTGTAGTCGTAGATTCAGTTGGTGTTGTTGTAGATTCTGTTGTTGCTGTAGTCGTAGGTTCACTAGGTGTTGTTGTAGACCTTGTGGTTGTAGTTGGCACTTCCGTTGTTGTAGTAGTAGGTTCAGTTGGTGGTGTTGTAGATTCTGTGGTTGTAGTTGGTACTCCAGTTGTAGTAGGTTCAGTAGGTGTTGTAGACCTTGTGGTTGTAGTTGTAGGTTCAGTTGGTGTTGTTGTAGATTCTGTGGTTTGTGTAGTAGGAGGTTCAGTAGGTGGTGTTGTAGACATTGTGGTTGTAGTTGGCGCTTCAGTGGTAGTTGTAGGTTCAGTTGGTGTTGTTGTGGATTCTGTGGTTTGTGTAGTTGGAGGTTCAGTTGATGGTGTAGACATTGTGGTTGTAGTTGGCGCTTCAGTAGTAGTTGTAGGTTCACTTGGTGATGTTGTAGTTGTCGCTTCAGTTGTAGTTGTGGGACATGGTACATGTACATATACCATTTCACAACATTGTACTCTGATGCTATAGTTAAAGCACTTCCGTGGAGGCTTTTTCTGGTCCCTTTTTTTGCATGTTAAACCATTTTTCACATCACAAGTAACATTTTGTCCGGTTTTATTCACAAAGTCATTGAAGTTCATTGTAGGGTCATTGGTCAATCTACATTCAATGTCGCTCGGATTGTCACATACCAGTTTACCGCTTTTTTTGATGTTCTCATATGTTTCCAAGTCACTGTGGTCAGTTTCTGGATCATACACATCATACCACTCTGACCACTTACATCTATTCATTTTAGTATTACAGGGAGCAGGAGTAGTTGTTGAGAGAGTTGTAGTTATTGTGATTGGTGTTGTTGTAGATTCTGTGGTTGTAGTTGGTACCTCAGTTGTAGTAGGTTCAGGAGGTGGTGTTGTAGACCTTGTGGTTGTAGTTGGCCTTTCAGTTGTAGTAGTTTCAGTAGGTGTTGTTGTAGACCTTGTGGTATTAGTTGGCGCTTCAGTTGTAGTCGTAGGTTCAGTTGGTGTTGTTTTAAATTCTGTGGTTGTAGTTGGTGATTCAGTTGTAGTAGTGGGTTCAGGAGGTGGTATTGTAGACCTTGTGGTTGTAGTTGTTGCTTCAGTTGTAGTCGTAGATTCAGTTGGTGTTGTTGTAGATTCTGTTGTTGCTGTAGTCGTAGGTTCACTAGGTGTTGTTGTAGACCTTGTGGTTGTAGTTGGCACTTCCGTTGTTGTAGTAGTAGGTTCAGTTGGTGGTGTTGTAGATTCTGTGGTTGTAGTTGGTACTCCAGTTGTAGTAGGTTCAGTAGGTGTTGTAGACCTTGTGGTTGTAGTTGTAGGTTCAGTTGGTGTTGTTGTAGATTCTGTGGTTTGTGTAGTAGGAGGTTCAGTAGGTGGTGTTGTAGACATTGTGGTTGTAGTTGGTGCTTCAGTGGTAGTTGTAGGTTCAGTTGGTGTTGTTGTGGATTCTGTGGTTGATGTAGTAGTAGGTTCAGTTGATGGTGTTGTAGACATTGTGGTTGTAGTTGGTGCTTCAGTAGTAGTTGTAGGTTCACTTGGTGATGTTGTAGTTGTCGCTTCAGTTGTAGTTGTGGGACATGGTACATGTACATATACCATTTCACAACATTGTACTCTGATGCTATAGTTAAAGCACTTCCGTGGAGGCTTTTTCTGGTCCTTTTTTTTGCATGTTAAACCATTTTTCACATCACAAGTAACATTTTGTCCGGTTTTATTCACAAAGTCATTGAAGTTCATTGTAGGGTCATTGGTCAATCTACATTCAATGTCGCTCGGATTGTCACATACCAGTTTACCGCTTTTTTTGATGTTCTCATATGTTTCCAAGTCACTGTGGTCAGTTTCTGGATCATACACATCATACCACTCTGACCACTTACATCTATTCATTTTAGTATTACAGGGAGCAGGAGTAGTTGTTGAGAGAGTTGTAGTTATTGTGATTGGTGTTGTTGTAGATTCTGTGGTTGTAGTTGGTACTTCAGTTGTAGTAGGTTCAGGAGGTGGTGTTGTAGACCTTGTGGTGGTAGTTGGCCTTTCAGTTGTAGTAGTTTCAGTAGGTGTTATTATAGACCTTGTGGTACTAGTTGGCACTTCAGTTGTAGTCGTAGGTTCACTTGGTGATGTTGTAGTTGTCGCTTCAGTTGTAGTTGTGGGACATGGTACATGTACATATTCCATTTCACAACATTGTACTCTGATGCTATAGTTAAAGCACTTCCGTGGAGGCTTTTTCTGGTCCTTTTTTTTGCATGTTAAACCATTTTTCACATCACAAGTAACATTTTGTCCGGTTTTATTCACAAAGTCATTGAAGTTCATTGTAGGGTCATTGGTCAATCTACATTCAATGTCGCTCGGATTGTCACATACCAGTTTACCGCTTTTTTTGATGTTCTCATATGTTTCCAAGTCACTGTGGTCAGTTTCTGGATCATACACATCATACCACTCTGACCACTTACATCTATTCATTTTAGTATTACAGGGAGCAGGAGTAGTTGTTGAGAGAGTTGTAGTTATTGTGATTGGTGTTGTTGTAGATTCTGTGGTTGTAGTTGGTACCTCAGTTGTAGTAGGTTCAGTAGGTGTTGTTGTAGACCTTGTGGTACTAGTTGGCGCTTCAGTTGTAGTCGTAGGTTCAGTTGGTGTTGTTTTAAATTCTGTGGTTGTAGTTGGTGATTCAGTTGTAGTAGTGGATTCAGTAGGTGGTATTGTAGACCTTGTGGTTGTAGTTGTTGCTTCAGTTGTAGTCGTAGATTCAGTTGGTGTTGTTGTAGATTCTGTTGTTGCTGTAGTCGTAGGTTCACTAGGTGTTGTTGTAGTAGTAGGTTCAGTTGGTGGTGTTGTAGATTCTGTGGTTGTAGTTGGTACTCCAGTTGTAGTAGGTTCAGTTGGTGTTGTAGACCTTGTGGTTGTAGTTGTAGGTTCAGTAGGTGGTGTTGTAGACATTGTGGTTGTAGTTGGCGCTTCAGTGGTAGTTGTAGGTTCAGTTGGTGTTGTTGTGGATTCTGTGGTTGGTGTAGTAGTAGGTTCAGTTGATGGTGTTGTAGACATTGTGGTTGTAGTTGGCGCTTCAGTAGTAGTTGTAGGTTCACTTGGTGATGTTGTAGTTGTCGCTTCAGTTGTAGTTGTGGGACATGGTACATGTACATATACCATTTCACAACATTGTACTCTGATGCTATAGTTAAAGCACTTCCGTGGAGGCTTTTTCTGGTCCCTTTTTTTGCATGTTAAACCATTTTTCACATCACAAGTAACATTTTGTCCGGTTTTATTCACAAAGTCATTGAAGTTCATTGTAGGGTCATTGGTCAATCTACATTCAATGTCGCTTGGATTGTCACATACCAGTTTACCACTTTTTTTGATGTTCTCATATGTTTCCAAGTCACTGTGGTCAGTTTCTGGATCATACACATCATACCACTCTGACCACTTACATCTATTCATTTTAGTATTACAGGGAGCAGGAGTAGTTGTTGAGAGAGTTGTAGTTATTGTGATTGGTGTTGTTGTAGATTCTGTGGTTGTAGTTGGTACTTCAGTTGTAGTAGGTTCAGGAGGTGGTGTTGTAGACCTTGTGGTACTAGTTGGCGCTTCAGTTGTAGTCGTAGGTTCAGTTTGTGTTGTTTTAGATTCTGTGGTTGGTGTAGTAGTAGGTTCAGGAGGTGGTGTTGTAGACCTTGTCGTTGTAGTTGGCCTTTCAGTTGTAGTAGGTTCAGTAGGTGTTGTAGACCTTGTGGTTGTAGTTGTAGGTTCAGTTGGTGTTGTTGTGGATTCTGTGGTTGGTGTAGTAGTAGGTTCAGTTGATGGTGTTGTAGACATTGTGGTTGTAGTTGGCGCTTCAGTAGTAGTTGTAGGTTCAGTTGGTGTTGTTGTGGATTCTGTGGTTGGTGTAGTAGTAGGTTCAGTAGGTGTTGTAGACCTTGTGGTCTTAGTTTGCACTTCAGTTGTCGTAGTAGGTCCAGTTGGTGGTGTTGTAGATGTAGTTGTTGCTTCAGTTGTAGTAGAAGGTGTACTTGGTGGTGTTATTGATTCCGTGGTTGTAGTTGGTGCTTCAGTTGTAGTGGTAGGTTTAGTTGGTGGTTTTGTAGATATTGTAGTGGTTGGTTCAGTTGAAGTAGCGGGTGTAGGTAGTGGTGTTGTAGACCTTGTGGTACTAGTTGGCGCTCCAGTTGTAGTCAGAGGTTCAGTGGCTGTTGTTTTAGATTCTGTGGTTGGTGTAGTAGTAGGTTCAGTAGGTTTTGTAGACCTTGTTGTACTAGTTGGTGCTTCAGTTGTAGTAGTTTCAGTAGTTGTAGTGCTGTCAATAAGAGGGCGTGTGGGTGGGACATTGCCGCATATATCATTTTCAAATATCACTGTTTCATGTATGCACTTTGCAATGTTGCACATTCCTGAATGGTCAGTCACATTGTAAATAACTTGACCTTCCTCATATCTAGTTCCATAGTAAAAGCAACCTTTACATCGGAACACGCATATCTGGTTCTCCTCATCAAATATGGGCTTGTCTTCTGGGCATACAGGGTAACAGCCTGCAAAAATTACAGTATAAAACATCACACATTATTTTCTGGTAGTAAAAGCATTGTTATTAGGGGTCCAAGCCCGAGTGGGCTGGGAACCCGTGAAAGCAAGGTATCGCGGTTCCCAGTACCAGTGGAGCTGGGAACCTTATTGTAATTGTAAGGATTTTTATTATTATTCTTCTGTACGTTTTCGCCTAATTCCGATACTGCAGCCTAGATGGTAACTGCTACAGACTTTAAACTCACAGGGTTTAAAGTCTTTCATTGGCTTGGCCCAGAGATCGTCCGTGCCAAGTTTGGTGTTGATCGGACTTGTGGCTTCGGAGGAGTTAATTAAAATAGGTTTTTCAGTTTTCGCGATTTTGCGAAAAAAAAGGACGCCCTGCCGTGGCTTGGGGGGGACTGTGGAGAATAAATGACCAGAGTTATAAATGAAAGGGGCTTGCGGTTACGGAGATCTGAAATTAATGTATGTGTATGGGAGTGTTATTTGATTTCCAACAAATAGCGCCATTTAGAGGCCAATTGACGCCAATTTTCACACAGCCCCTCGGGAGGGTGTGGCAGATAAGGTCACCAATTTTGGTGTAGATTGGCCATTGCAAACGTAAGATCTGACATGACACCCTGTTTCAAGCGTTTGCGCAAACATTTGTTAGCTTATAATTGGGACGTTTTTTTGCGGATCAAGATTCCCTCTACAAACATTCATTGGGTCGGTCAGAGATGGTCCATGCCAAGCTTGGTGCCGATCGGACTTGCAGCTTCAGAGGAGTTACTTAAAATAGGTTTTCCAGTTTTCGTGATTCAGCAAAATGCACACATCATCACACAGAGGCGTGTCCTATACCATCGGAATCGGCAGCATCCCCCAAACACGTAGACATAACTTATGAATGTGCCATGTAGTGGGCCGTAGTTATGAGGCAAAATGTCCTTTGGTTCAAAATCCCATTGAAATGAATGGGATTCTCCCACCGTATTTGAGCTTCGATTATAGTGCCACCTTTAGGCCGTATTGCACCTCATTTTTCAGGTGTCAGGGCCCCAAGGGGAACAATTGCCCCAAATTTGGTATCAATTGGATTTTTTTTTGAATAGCGTGAACTAGGGGCTAACTGCACCGAATTTTGCACAGGGGCATGGCAAGTTTGGTGTTGATTGGCCATTCCCAACGTAAGATACGACATCACTTCTTGTTTATAGCGTTTTTTGCAAACATTTATTAGCGTATCATTTTAACAAATTTTGTCATATGAAAATTTTCTCTACAAATTTTGGTCCGGAGAGTATCCGTACCAAGTTTGGTGTCAATCTGACTTGCGGCTTCGGAGGAGTTAATTAAAGTAGGTCTTTCAGTTGTCGCGACGAATCGAAAAAAAAAGTCTAGGCGGAAATGGGCGTGGCCTATACCATTGGATTCAGTGGATATAAGGTTTCTGGTATGCAGGAGTTCCAAGGCCAAATGCATATATAGCACCCCCTAGCGGTAGAAGTGTGCGGATATTTGCACCTGAGGTACTTGCAGTGGTTTGGACCTACCTTATGGGTTTCATGTCTGTAGCACTTACCGTCTCGGCTGCAGTATGAGTTTTAGCGGCGGAATAATAAAAATCCTAACGATTGATTCCAATAGGGTTCCCAGCTCCGTTGGTACGCCCTCCCGTTGGTACTGGGAACCGCGATGCCTTGCATTTCTAGGTTCCCAGCCCACTTGGGCTTGGACCCCTAAAAATCAGAACTAAAACAATAGGGTTCTCAGCTCTGCTGGTACTGGGAACCGCGATGCCATTTGCGGGTTCCCAGCCCACTCGGGCTTGGACCCCTAATTAACTCCTCTGAAGCCGCAAGTCCCATCGCCACCAGACGTGGCACGGATAATCTCTGGACCAAGCCGATAAAAGTTTGTAGATCCGACAAAAAATGTCGCAATTATAAACTAACAAATGTTTGCGAAAAACGCTAAAAACAGGAAGTGATGTCATATCTTAAGTTTGGAATGGCCGATCAACAACAAATTTGGACCAATAATGTGGGACGCCCCCTGAGGGTCTGTGCAAAATTTGTTGTAACTAACCCTTAGGTGGCGCTATTTAAGCTGATAAAATTTTCTTCTATAACCACAAGTCACATTGACATGAAACACGAGCCGAATCACGAAAACTGTAAAACCTATTTTAATTAACTCCTCCGAAACCGCAAGTCCCATCACCACCAAACTTGGCATGGAACCGTGATGCCATTTGCGGGTTCCCAGCCCACTCGGGCTTGGACCTCTAATTAACTCCTCCGAAACCAGAAGTCCCATATAAATATAGTTTCTTAATGTGTCATAAGTTAGTCAAAAAAGATCAGTTCAACATCAGGAGATTATAAGATTTTTATTAGCAAATTAATCAGTTCTAAGGTGAGTAATTGTGAGTTAACCTCTTACCTTCCAGGTGGGGTAAAGAGTTGCTACAATTTCCTTGTGGATTGAAGCAAGTCTTGTAACAAGGTGTGTGGCAAGGGTTGTAGTGCCACTTGCATTCATTTCGGCTGTTGTAGTAGTCACAAAAGACAGCTAGAAGAAAAGATAAAATGGATGTTATGTTTTAAATAAAGGAATTGTTGATTAAAAAAAGTAGATTAATGTCTATAAACGTGTCACTGAGAACACAAACTTCCATCGGCTATATTCTTGCAGTATATTGATTTTAGGTCTCCCGAATACTTTAATCTTTAGTTATTTCAAATTACATTCATAAAAACAACCTATTAACTGTCACGATCCTGTCCTGAGCTTGTCTGGGTTAGATTATTTTGGCCATGCCTTTCTCTGTGTTTGGGTTTTGGGTTTCAGTCCTGTCTATCTGTGGTCTTGTATCCAGTCTCCTGTTTGTTCGGTGTACGTGGTTCTGATCTGTCCTGTTATCTCGGTGTCTGCCTTAGTACTTGTTTAGTTCTGTCCCGTCCCTCATGTCTTGTTCTCTAAGATCATGCTTGGGTTCTGTTTGTCTGTTTGCCAGTTTCATTAATTAATCTGATTTTTTTCATTCTGCTTTAGTCTCTGTGTAGCCTTTATTATTGCATTCATCCCACTCCTGCTTTACGCGCTCACCGACCGTGACATTAACAACATTCTATAATACAAAATTGCACTCATATATTGAACTAGACAAACCATTGCAGTGTTTTAAAATATACATTTTACAAAACACGCACTGATGCCCATAGATTCTCTTAAATATGTAAAACAGGGCAGATTATAAGATATCATTTTTATAAAGGAAAGTACAGCAAGCCATTCTCATACATACATCACGTGTTAAATCCCTAAAAACTGAGGTCATAAGAATTTGGGGAATCTAAAAATATGGTCTTGAAAACGTCAGTTAAATCTGAGGGGGAAATAGTTGTTTACTTACGACAGATTTCTGGAGTTCTCCATGCAACACAGACACTGGCCTCATTACAAGCTTGAGCATAAGATGCAACTGCTGTGCAGAAACACTCACAGTCTCCTCCAGAGTCGCAGGCACATGAGTCTGTCACACAGTTTTCATAAAATCGATGGGGATCTACCTGTTCGGTTATCAAAATATTTGACAGATTTAAAAAAATCTGTTTGATGTTTTCAATCATATAACTTTATATTGTGATAAATTAGAAAGAAATCTGCCATTACCTTATTGTGGCAGTCTTTGAAAGTACCATCCTTTGCAATTATAATGTTGCACATCATTTTTGCCCAGTGATGTCTAGTGGGTCTTGCTCCACAAGGGTCAACATTCATTTCAACATCTGGGCAGCTGCTTGACACTTTCCAGCTGTTTGCAAACTCTAACAGATTGCTCACTGCCAGCCGACCCTGGGTGGTGAAGTCATTCTGTCCATCACCATCAAAATCTCCACACAGGCCACATACCTCTCCCTGTATGGCCGAACAAACTTAGTCAGTTATAAATAATAATAACAATATTCCATATCGATACAAGAAACAAGCATTTTTCAGGCATCAATAAACCTGTATTATGTTGACAAGCACAATATTCTATTGTATTTACATCATATGTAATAAATATTGGAATAAGTTCCTTAAGGACTTTTTCATACATCAATGCCATTGTTCTCCCAAAGCTTTTTAAGTGAAGAAAATGATCAGCAAAGACAGATAAACTACAGATGAGAAAAAGATGGTCCATCATATCAAAACTCTAAGCTCTTACTCTGAGAAATTTCAGTCATCATCACTGCAACAATGACTGTGACTCACTTTGTGCTGTGGTTCAAGGAGGATGTGAACAGTTGTTTTGCGATCCCACATCACTGTCAGACCAATGGCAGATTCTATAACCAGATACAACCCAACCCTCCTTATTTTGTACTGAATCTGAGGGCCATCTCCAAGGTCCTCTTCCTTATAGTGACCCTTTGATAGTTTGACTTCCATTCGCTGCAATGTTAAAGAGATTTTGTTGCTTTCATTGTGATTGTAAAAACTGCAGCTTGATATATGACATAATTCATTAAATTGTGCTCAATATTTTAGGCATAGAATATATATCAGGTGTTGGTATTTTATCTTACCCCCAGTTGGATTCTAACAGTTTTAGAGCATGTGGTGCCTGTAGTTCCACATGGTACATTTTCTGTGATAACACCAAACTTGCCTTGCACTGTTTTATTGCCACAGTTGTTCTTAAAAAAGAGATATTCATTAAACATTTTGCAAGTTTACTTCATAGTAGACATGAGACCATTGATCAAATCAAACTTCAGATTGGCCTTTACTAATCCAGAATACTAACATTATTAAAGAAAGGCTAGAACATAAAATCATGGAAGATTTTGACATGCTTTGTTTACCTTAACAGCAACAGAGTCACAATGTCCTTGAAACCCATATGATCGCTGATCAAATGTATTGTAGTGACCACTCCCATAAATAATGCAAGTTCCCGGACATCTTTTCTCTGTGCACTCCCAGTTTCCACTTTTGCAGGTACTAGATGTATCAGAAATTGTTAAAAATAATAGTAAAACATGCAGGCAAATATGATATTTGTTTACACTGCTACATTGGACATGTGATAACATGTAAAAACAAGTTCATACCAGCTGTTGCACTGGTTACGGATTTGTGTTCCAGGGGCATAAAGATGCCCATCATGCTGACATGGACATTCATGAACTTTTACACAGGAGCCTTTTCCATCATCAATAAGGCCACCTGGACACTGACAGCCAGATGCACACTCTGGGGAGTCCTGGGTAGATGGAGAGATCACAGTGATAGAAAACAAGAAAACATTACTACTACTACTACTACTACTCAAAGCTCTAGCCCTAACATTATTTAACTTTATTTTCACTTTTCAAACCTATTCACGCTGAAGTTGTAAAACATGTTACGATTTAAATCAGTTTAGTTAAGCTATACGTCGGCATGTGTCACAGCTCGACGATAACCAGGCAGAGAATGCTGCCCTATATGAGAGAATCACTTTATTCTCTCTCTCATATTGGGTACAAGCAAGGGCCCCGCCAACAGACATACCAGTGGAATGACAATGAAGACAATGCGGAAAGAGAGAGGGGGAGCGAAGGCATGTGAGAAGCCGGAAAGGTAGGTGTGTTGTGGTGGCAGCCTGGCTGACGGTGAGTGTCCTGTTTATTTCTCCTTTTTTCTTGTGATTCTATTTTTCCCTTGTGTTTTTGGCCTGCTTGTCTGTGTCTCCTCTGCTCTCCTTGCTTGTGTTCTCCCTCTCTCTCTCTGCTCCTGAGCCTAACTGACGATCCATACCTGCACCTCGTCAGCCACCTCCTCTGCCTGCCGCACCTGCCAGCAATCAACTCCGTCCCTGCCAGTATTTCAAACCCGGTTCTCCACACAATCGCTGCTTGATGGTCGTTGCTCTGACCTGGTGCCACTGCTTGCCTCAAGCCTTTTGCCACATCTCTGTTACCGGTTTCCTGTTTTCCCTGTTACTAATCCTGTCTGTCTGTCTTTCCCCAGGTCCACTCACCTTCATCCTTCGTCTAGTCAGCTGGGCTTGCCTGCCTGCCCTTTCCCCTCGGGCGTCTTCCACGGCACCCTCTCCGCTTCCCCTCGTGCCTCACAGTCAGCCTGCTACCACACTCCTCCACCAACCCCCCAGTCAGTCCTCCCGTGCCTCCTCTCTTCCTCTGCCCCCCGGTGCCTCCCAGTTTCCTTGTCCAGCCTCCTTGGCCCCACCTGCTCCTCGGCCCCCGGTGCTCCTTGGCTCCTCTGCCTCAGCCCCCTCTGTCCTATTTGCTCCTCGGTCCCTCGTGCCCGTGTTCCCCCCGGCATCCACCTCTCTCTCCCCTCCACTTCCTCAACCCCCTTTTCCCTCAATAAATCCTCTTTCACCTGAGCGTGGCTTTTGGGTCCTCTCTGTCCAGCATCCATAAGAAGGTGGAGATTTAAACCTTGCTTTCCATCGTTAGTCATGGAGAACAAGAGATCGCTGGCAAACAAGATGGATGAACTCACAGCCCAGTGAAAGTACAGACCTAGCTGAGCGGGAACATTTAAGACTATTCGGTCAGGCTGACTGCCTTTTAAGGGATCGGGCACACTGGGGAAAACGGAACGGTAACAAGAAAGGAGAAGGTCTAGCCATCTTTGTGAACTCCAAATGGTGGAACCTGAGGAATATAACTGTGAAGAAGGTTATCTGCCGGCTGTGGGACTGAGACCTTACTATCTACCTGTGAGTTCTACAAGCAGTCGTGCCCAGGGGTGGAAGGGCACAAAAACCATTCAAATGAGGTGTTTTTCAACAGGTTTGTCATCCCCTACCCCAATCCACACCTCAGGTAGATCTTTGAGAGGCTTGTGCCGAAGCACCTAAACCCCTGCTGAAAGACTCCCTGAATAAGAGTGGCTGATGCCATCAGGCAGTCTGAGGACAAACACCTAGAGCTCAACATATGCAAGACAATGGACCTGTTAATGGACTTCAGATGGAGCAGGAAGCCCTCAAAAATTCAGTGGCAAGGAATAGAGGTGGTGGATTACTACAAATTCCTGGGATTACACAACAATGTGGACTGGTTGGATAAAACAAAGGCTTTCTACAGGAAAGGACAGAGAAGACCTTTAGGAGTATCAGTTCTTTAGTGTGTGCACCAGGCTACTACAAGTCTAGACTAGCCAACTCACTGTTCTTTGCAGTGGTTTGCTGGGGTTGTGGTGGCAGCACTGCCCACCCCCCACCAAACGTTTAAAATGACTGACAGCAGCCTCTCTAATAATGAAAGTAAATTGTAAAAGAAAACACTCATACATTAATACAACACTGAAAGAACCTGGAAGAGAAAGATGTGACCCACAACTGGTTCATCATAGTTAATAATAATGCAGCGCAGTGAGCCTCCAGATGTTTCATACAGGAGACAGAGTGCAGTTTATTTCAGACACTTCACTGATAAACCTCTTGTTAAAATAGGGACCCTTATTTTAACAAACTGTTCACCATTAAATTCAGGAAATAACAGTAGATGAGGTTATTTGAGAATAATATGTCAATTTAGACAGTGGAAAAAATAACTCACACAATCATTGTTGTCCAGATTTAAACAAGTTTGAGCACATTGCAGTCCAAGCTCTCCTGCACCCGCAGTGGAGCAATTGAAGAATACTTTTGGGAAAGGGCATGCTGTAAAAATAGACAAAGAAGGACACACCAATTTAATGTGATATAATATATGTAAATTGAAAACCTCAGTATAGAAAAATAAAAAGCATACTTGCTGAACGGACTCTTAGAGAATGGCAATGAAGTATTCCATTGGTGCACATACTAGAAATAGACCCAAAGAAATCCGATGCAACACAAAAATACAATTTAGTTTCTGTTAATCTCACATACAACACACACTACAATCATGCTAAAACCTTAGTCTAGAAAAACTGATATGAAGTCAAATGAAATTGCAAACAGCTGACTCACCATTGGTCATCTTTCATGCTGATGGACTTTCCTGCCTGGATGTAGACTTCATTATGGTAGCAGGGGCATTTTGCCATGGGGACGCACAAGTCGTCTTCATTTAGGTAGAGACCCTCAGGGCAGGAGCAGCCATCCACAGGCAAGAAGTCAGAAGTGCAGCTTTGTTGCTTTTCGCCCAACGATCTGCAAGTCATCTGGCATCTCTGATTTTTGTAAGAGAAGATCTGAGATGCTGGACAGCTCCTTGTGTATTTATCTGTTTGTGCACAATGCAAAGTTGATTATTTAGATAGTTTTATGTCTAACTGATGAAAGGGAAGATGTTTTCATCAAACTCCAGAAATCATCACTCAACTTTACCAAAACATAACAATGAAATAAATACTTACCGCAAACATTCTGTCTCCAGTCTGTCAGGAACACTCCCTTTGATGCACAAGCTCTGGCATAGGAGGAGAAGACAGCACAGAGGCAGGCCTCACTCTTCTCACAGTTACAGCTAGCGTAAATACATCGCTGCAGAAGAGAGCAAACACTTAACACAAAATTATACTCATCAAAATGTAATTCAGTGAAAGATAAATAGAAAGGTTTTGCTGTACCTTGTAGTACATCTCAGGATCCATCACTGAATGGCACTGTGCAAAGGTACTGTTTGGACTTAGCAGCAAGGCGCACCAGTGTTTGGCGTAATTCTCTAAAAGTGGAGAACAGTTAACTTTAAAATTTTTAATGAGTTCAAATGTGTTGCACTGTTCAATGGGTCTAAATATAACATTACATTACAGAAAAACAGTTTCAAGCAGAGAATAATAGTCAAAGAAATACACATTTACCATTTTCCACACTGAGGGCACAGGGGTCATCAAGTCTTTCCTCTCTGTCTCGGCACATGAAGTTAGCCTTCCAGGAGTTACTAAATGTTGCTGCTGTTCCCTCCACAATCCCCTGTGGAGTCTTCATGTCATCAGACAGGACCATGTTGTAGTTCCCACATAAACCTAAAGACACCAAATATTTTCATGGTCAAATGTGTTTTCAGTTTGGCGCTTCTTGGCCAACAAATATCGACTATATATGACTATGCTGTGATCCGCATTGTATAATGTGCATCACATTATTGTCATAAACTATTGATTTTATTGTAGTTTTGAGCATGTTTTTACAGTTAGACCCCAATTATAGTTGTGTTTTGTTGTCTTTACTGAACTAATAAATCAAATTAGAATTGGGGTCATTCTGTCAGTGACTTCTGTCCAATTGGACTTTTTTTTGCCACCAGTGGAGTCGCCCTTGCTGGCCGAATTGGCTTCACTACTCAGACCCCTCTCACTTGTTTAAAACAACCAAAAATAAAAAATTACTCTAACCTCCTTATCAGATAGACTGTATAATTTAACACCTACAGTCTGTAATAACTTAATATACAGTATACATAATATCTTCTGACATAGGTTTTGATGATGCCAATATTTCGTTTTACCGCGTGTCTTTGCTCTGTAGCCTGGTTCCAGGCTGACATAGACTTGCATGACAGGCACATGCTGGACCTGAATTTGCAACCCAAAGCTGGTCTGGAGCAAGATGTGAAAGGATGAAGCGTGGAATATGTTGATGTCACCTTTGAATAAAGAGAAATACAAAAACACATAATTTGCTGATGTCGTAGCATAAATGAAAGAAGACAATAATATGTATAATTCAGAGTTTCTTATTGTGTGACCTACCTGAGTGGTGTGGCAAAGTGATAGTCTGCATATTCTGCTTTACTGTACCATCGGAAGTGAACGTTAATACCTGAATAAAAATAGACTCAATCATTGGAGAGTTGAATCAGTTTGAATTAATAAATGACTTGTCTTCTAAAAAGGGGCGGCTGTGGTTAGATTAACGGGTTGCCCGTTAATCGGAAGGTTGGCGGTTCAATCCCTGGCTCCTCCAGGCTGCATGTCGAAGTATCCTAGGGCAAGATACTGAACCCCAAATTGCCTCTGGTGGCTGTTCTGCCAGTGTATGTGTGTGAATGTTAGTTTCTGTTTGATCACTTAGTATTTGACATGACACTTAGTATTTGACAAAAAGACATGATTAAGGAGTCCAAATACATTCAGTGGATGAATGTGTGTGAATGCAGATGTAGTGTAAAAGCGCTTTGAGTGGTCGAAAAGACTAGAAAGGCGCTATACAAGAATGGAGCATTTACATTTAAACTGACTTGACTTAACTTACGTTGTTTCTGTCATTGTTCAGCAGGAATTTAAGGTTCTTAAGACAAGTGTCAGACTCTAGGTGTCTACATGGCACCAACTGGGCCCGGATGGTAAAATTTGGACTTGCATCATCCTGAAATACACATAGTATGAGCAGAATTAAATACCTAGCAAAATATTTAATCATCAGCAAATTATATATTTTTAACATTTAATAGAAGAAAGCAATGACTGATTCACCTTGCTTTCCACCTTGGCTAGGGTGTAGAAACAGTCTCCATGGAAAGTGTAAGTTTTCCCATCAAATGTAGTTACATGTGAACCCTCTTCAACTGCACATGTAGCAGGAGTCTGAAGGCTCTCACAAGCCCATCTACCCTCAAAACATGTACTGAAACAACCCAAATAATTTGAGTTTACAAAAAGACATGATTAAGGAATCCAAATACATTTTGTTTACATTATTAAACGTGTAACATACCAATTTTTCCCGACCTGTTGATAAACCTCACCAGGGTTATAGATTTTGTCGTGCTTGCACCGACATTCAGATTGAGCAATGCACCCTCTCATGGAAATATCATCAAACACAGTTCCTGACATAAACACATGTGACATGAGCAAGACAAAGTGCATATAACAGGTAATAAAACAGGAAACAATGTAGTAAGAAACATGTGTGTACATGTAAACCCCACTAACCATTAGGACAGAAGCAGCCGTCCATTTTGTGGTCCTCACACAGTGAACTTGATTCCAGATGTGTGCATGTAACCATACAAGGGGAACCACTCTCTTCATAAACCATGTTGAATGGGCACTGTTTAGCTGGGAAGATACGGTTCAATTAAAATCAACAGAGGGACAAGAAGATATGCTACACAAAAAAGACTGAGAAAACTAAGACCAATAATGAATGTATCCAGTTAACAACTGCGTGTAGCCATAGCCTAATATCACCTATATATGTTTTGTAATTCTACTGCTGTCCAAAGAAATGCTAGATTAAGTAACATCGGTGTTATCCTTAATATAACATATACATATATGTACGTATTTTACGTCCATACTTATTTAATGCTGTACTTTGCTGAGTATTACCAATATGACGGATAAGGTTCATCAATTTGACAGCAAAATAAAGTTTTAATGTTTGTTTATTAGTTTGCAATAAAATATTTTGAATATATTTTGAATTATATCTTAACTCTTATTTCTTATCCTAGAATTGCATGAGAAACTTACTTTTAATACTGTAACTTGTAACTTCTATGTAGAATACATTTGTAATGATTGGTTTTCAATTGTAATTGTACTACATCTTTACACCAGTAAGTGTACTTCCTGATTTGTAAAATTTTAGCATGATAGCAGTACTTCTACTTCAGTAAAAATGTAAACGTTACCACAGAACTGAGGTGTTCTCCAGTTGGGAGGCTGCCCTCCTGCATGGGAACACTGCCGAGACAACTCCGAAAGTGTGCTGCAGATGCAGAAGTTATTTGTACTGTTGTTGCAGCCACACATGTCCTGCACACAGGCCTCTATGTAAGGTTCAGGGTTAATCAGTTTGGTGCAGGAGCTCCAGGACTCTGAACGAAGCATTCGTTCACAGGTGGTTTGCTAAAAGGTAAAAAGAGATGGGTAATAGAGACAAAGTTACTGTGTTGAAAATGCTACAAAATATCACTATTGCTAAAATTAGTTGGATAATAAACTCACAAACTCCTTGCATGAAACTGGCACAGTAAAAGTCTCCTTTGGCTCATTTTCCTTTTCATAAGGGTCTTCACAATCGTCATCTGGATGATGGACTTTCTGATTGTTGCCAAACTCAATGGGACTCATTTTGCGACCTGCAGTTGATTGTAATTACAGTGTGAAATGTCAAAGATACAACTGATGACTTATTGTAAAATAGTTTCCTAATGCTTTAAATACATTTATGTTTTCAGTGAATAACAAACCATTAAGAATGAACTCATTGAAGACAGAAACACCATTGAAGTCTCCACATAGTCCACAGGTACGATTGACATAGTCATGATCGAGTTCCACCTACAACAGACATGACAAAGGGTTAAAACATTTTTCTCATACTGACTGTATTGTTATTTAATCATAAAATACCAAACAATTTAATTTCACACTGTCATAAAGTGACCTACTGAAGCTTCTGAAATCTGCAAGTAAGATATTACAGTGTATCATGAGTGAGAAAATCTTATTTTATAATCAGGTTTCATTGCAGAACCTCAGCTCACCCTACAGCACTCTATTGTCCTTGTTGCACTTCTTTCTCCATCCAGATCCATGCAGATTTGGTTTTATTGTCTAGGTTTTGAAATACCCCATTTAGTTTTCATAAGGACTATTTATTGAGTGGATAGTAGTTCAAATTAATAATTGCTTTTGAATGTTTTAAATGTAATTTTGCAGTGAGTGCCACAGATCCCTCCAGCAATAATATTCTAAATCTATTGTTTAAGAGAGCAATGTGTTTACATGTTATATCTTGATTTGTTCTAATAGACAGCAGTATTGAAAGTTAAAACTTTTACCATGACTGCATCATCACCATTCCACATGACAGTGATGCCAACTTTGGATTGGAGCTTGATGTAAACCGCAATGTTTTCCACTTGTACCCCTGCCTCGTTGTAGGGCATTTTGACACTGGGAAAGAGAGAATGTTGTCTTAATTATAATGCAGAAATATAAAAAAAGACTGAATTGTAGTTGTTTTCAGACATTTTTCCATTTTGGGGACAAAAAACATCTCTGCTGTTTTTACTTACGGCACGCTGTTCACAGTGACCTGGCTCTTAGTGAGGTGGAATAAAAGGTCATTGATGGTGACCACCACATAACTGACTGTAGGATTTCCATCATTCTCTTCCCTCTTCATGTGTACTGAGAACTCATGGTAGGACTCGTGGCAGTCTGAGGCCAGGTTGTATTCACACATACCAGGGAACTGGTACACATCACCATCAAATGTCTTGAAGTGCTCTCTTCCCCAAGTGCTGCAGATGCTGCTGACATGGTTGTGAACTGGAAAAATGAAAAAAGAAATGTTAGCAGCATTATTTTTACTGTTTTGAAAATAAAATATGTACTAACTGATACATGTCTTATTGCAATGAGATACATCTTCCAGGCTACACCTCCTTAGCATTCTTTAGAAGTGAAAAGTTTGAGCATAATAAATATTACAGACAGTGGTGTACATTATACATGCATATGTGGTATGTGGCATAAAAATTTATTTATCATTTATCCAATCCTGAAAACTGTTCCACAGAATCTACAATATTTAGAGACTTACCCTGCCTGGCGGTGATATTAATGACACTGGCAGACAAAGTAAGGAAACACAACCACACAAATCTCCCCTTCATTGTTGCCACTGAGGGCTTTTGATCTTTTGACATGAAAGAAGGTAACAGTCAGTCTGTACCGGACAGCCCTTTATATTGAGGTTGCTCATCTTTTTTTGCTCCCACCCTCTTTGATCTTTGCCAGGATATGGTAAACACAGTTTTTCTTCATCTTCCATATCACATGATTAAACAAAGAGTTCTACAACACCCTTCCAGAGAAATTGATGTTGTTTGTTTTGCACTTTAAATGGTAAATGGACTGTACTTCTACAACCCTATTTCCAAACAAGTTGGCACATTGTGTAAAATGTAAATACATACACAATGTGATGATGGGCAAAACATTGAAACCCCATATTTATTGAAAACTGATGAATTATATTGTTTTTTGATGAATTTGATGCCAGCAACATGTTTCAGAAAAGTTGGGTAATGTTTATCACTCTGTTGCATCACCTCTTCTTTTTACAACACAAAGAGTCTGGGAACTGAGGAGTCCAACTGCTGTAATCTTGAAAGTGGAATGTTTTCCTATTTTTGCTTGATGTAGGATTTCAGCTGCAATAGTTCAAGGTCTCATTGGTCGTATTTTATGTTTCATAATGTGACAAGTCAACAACTGCAAGCAGTCCAGTAGCACCCAGCTATTGTAATACCTGCAGAATGTGGTTTGGCATTGTCTAGCTGAAATATGACTGCTGAAAAAGACGTCATCTACTTGGCAGCATATGTTGCTACAAAACCTGATGTCATTCAGTTAATGGTGCCTTCAAAAATGTGCCGTGTCCACTAATGCACCCCATACCATCACAGATATTGGCTTTTCAAACTGTGCGCTAATAACAAGCCGGATTGTCTTTCTCCCCTTTAGCCCGAGGACGCTGTGTACATGACTTCCAAACAGAATTTCAAATTTTGCGTTTGTTGGACCATAGGACAGTTTTCCACTTCACCTCAGTCCATCTTAAATGAGTCCAGGCCCCCAGAAGGTGGTGTTTCTGGATCTAGTTTATATACGGTTTTCTCTCTTGGTAGAGTTTCAACTTGCATTTATGTGTGTTAAGTGTTCCTAAGCCCATGTAATTTTTTTTTCTGGTCGGACTTCCAGGATTATCTGTTGGTATTTTATTTCTAGTTTTCAAAGAATGATTAAATGCCCAACTTTGGCACCTAGGGTTCTTAATTCCGGTATTAACAGTTTAAAAATAAATCATTCTATGTTTTTGACCCTGGCCCTTACTTGTACAAAATACTTACTGTACAGAGGATATAGGACATGTTTTTGTGAACCTTAGTCGTCCCCGGCTTTTCTGTATGGCGTTTGCATGTTCTCCCCATGTCTGCATGGGCTCTCTCCAGGTGCTCTGGTTTCCTCCCACCGTCCAAAGACATGCGGACTAGGTTGATTGGTGACCCTAAATTGTTCTTAGGTGTGAGTTTTTGATATTTTAGATTGTTATATTATTAGAACTCATTTTATTGCAGTCAGTGTAGCGTAATCATGCAACGAGCATGGATGATAAAAATATTACTGTAACGTTGCAGTGGGAGTTTACATGAGTTTCCAGTATTTTGTGTGAAGCTCATGAGTTCGAGCACATGTATGGGCACATACCTGGTTGCAATCTAAAAACCACACCACAAGCGGCCGTTGAAAACTACATTATGCCCCTTTAAATGTCAGCCCTACCCTAAAAGGTCTTTGTATTTTAGAAAAATGATAATTCATGCCATTTAAGGCTGGGTACACCCTGGACAGGTCGCCAGTCCATCACAGGGCCACACATAGATAGACAACCACTCACAACCACACCTAAGGACACTTTTGGAGACACCACTTAACTCCACACAGAAAGGCCGGGGCAACCGGGGTTTGAACACACAACCTTCTTGAGGCGACAGAGCTAACCACCGAACCACCACCATCGTTTTTAATTTAATACACAAATGATAGTATGCTTTCTGCACATTGTGTAAGTCCACAAAAGATCTATCTTTTGGGTCTGTGTGAAATTGATAATAAAAATTCTTGTTAGTTTTGAAAATTGATAATCATGATATCATGATGATTTAAACAGTGAGCAAACAAAAGCTGGATTGGCACAAACAACACAATAGATGAGATGGGACATAAACAGAGTTGCAATTTTTTTATTTGATCAACAGATAAATACTCTTTCTACAATGACAATTATTTTGTAGGAGATGCAATAATTGTGAAAACAATATGGGATTAAACTTCTACATCCCACATCCACTAATGTGATGACATATTTTTATTACACTAGTGTGAAGCGTCGCCTCCTGCGAGCAGGTTGTCCAGCAGCTGTGGTGCAGTCTGTGGGGCTACAGCTACACTCCTCCACATGGATGTATATGTAGGGAACCACATCTCCATTCAGGCAGTGCAAGTCAATGGTGCGATTGCTGGAGCGTGTCTCCTTACAGCAGGAGCAAGAATGCTGCAGAGTCGCTGCTTTTTCAGAGTACCTGAAGAAAGCAGATGCAGGATTGATTAATAAACTCAAAATCTGCAGAAACATATACCAAAAACATTTTTAATAGGTTTGTGATATTCCAGAGGAATGAGAAATATTAATAATATCATGGTTACTTGGTGAAAGTGTTGCAGGATCCTTCACAATAGGTCATATTTACTTCCTGGTATGACTGACAGTTCCCAAACATAATCTGAGTTTCCATGGATTGTAATTTGCAGGCCTTTTCCCTCTCCACACCTTTTCAAAAGAGACATACAATTGTTTTATTGTTTTCATTTAAGTACCTTCTATTTAAAAGTAAAGAAAATGTCATACTCACAAATTTTACAACAGCCATTTGCTGCAGTCTGTATTGTGTCCTAAGGAAAAAAATAAACAACATTTCAAACTATTTTCAAAAGGGATGATGTCGTTTGCTTTCAGAAAATGATTTTCTATACCATCTACAGCATTTATTAAGTCAATGCAGAATAATTTATTGAAAGTGATACTTACAGGTTGGCAGTTTCTCTGCTCAAATGGCGGGCAGACAATGTGTGATCTGGTCATTGTTAAAGTCTCACCACTCTTAACACATGTGTAGTGCTCACACTTATTCTCAGGTGGTGACCAGATTTGTCCTTGCTGGAGAGCAGTGAGATGGAAGTACAGACAAACATACACGTATGCACACACAGATATAAACAAACTGAGGTCCTGTAATCTATTAAACATGAACATCTGGAGTGATAGCCAACAGAGATGATCCAACTTACCATCAAGAGTTGCTTGGTACCATTAATATTGACGACACACTGTGTCTGTACACACTTTCCACAGCATTTGTCCGAATCAGTTCGCACATATTCATATCCCTGAAAGAAAGGGGGGAGGATTTAGTTGCCATGTCCATTTTTACAAATTCGTCCTCTCAGTAAACATATTCTGAGAAAAACAAACAATGTGTATATGGGAATAATGTGATCTTGCTCACCTTTTCACAATTTTTATCACATTGCTGAAACTCACAAACTATTTTGAATAGTTTAGAACTTGGGTCCACCTCATTGGTACAGGTGCAACTCTGACATGTAGGACCAGGAACCGAAGAACGAGGCTAGGAAATGCAAAGAGAAAATGTTCATGTTTGTATTTTAGTCATTCAGAAGGGCAGCAGCAGTCATAAAATCATAAAATGAATGTGTTGATGTTCTCAGTACAATCCATTTTCTTGTTTACCTGGTATTCACTTCCTTCGTGGACACAAACTCCTTTAGGCTCTAGAAAAGAGCAAGACAATGGAAACTGTGTTAAACGTGTCTCCGCCGTCAATAGGTTTTATACAACTTCAAACTGTGAATAAATGAGCTCACCAAATGTATGTTCTGGACAGCATTTCCCTTCAGGAACACTGACAACGGAAGTAAATCCAACCTGACAGTTCATGCTGGTGACTGGGCAAGTGTTGCTGTGACATTCTGTGGAGATGATTAACAGTAATTATTCAGAGTAATCTTCAAGAATCACCATCAGCAGTAATTTGAAAATTTTAACCCTCAAATGTGCATTGAGGTAATGTGTCTTACGGCAAACATATGTAGAACAGCAGGGGTCTATGGGATCCGGTTGTTGGACAATAACGAACCCTGGACCAGTGCAGTTTATTAGAGGTGGTGGTGGGCACACCTTAGGCTTGCAAGACACAGTCTTGGTGGACTCCTCACAGATGCAGTTTAGGCATTTGTACCCAAATATCTCATTCAACTGAATAAAAAACAGAGTAGTGACATCAGTGTCTCTTGCAAGTAATATAACAATGGTTAGGATTTTAACTGAACATGAGAAGAAGACTTGGCTGACCTTACGAGGAATGCCCTCAGGATCAAGACATCCTGTTGGAACACAGTTATTAGCAATTTAGGGCTTCATGACTGACATTATGTTGACCAATCTGCTGGCTGAGTGCACTCTCTACAAAAGCCACCATAACTTCAGTGGCCTCGTCAAAGTGAAGATTTGGTTGGTTGTCACGCCATCAGACTGATGAAAGTAGTCTGTGTAAGTGGGTATTTGTTATTCACAAAATCAAAATTGGTTATGATAAACGCTCACCTTCTCTGAGAGAAAAAACAATTCAAACACCACACAACTCTGGACAAACCCACAGAATGGATGTTTAAGTGCTGACTTTGTTTTCCAGAATTTGTTGGGTTTTAAAGGTTATTAAATCAAATTTGCAATGATCTTTTATATTGTATACAGATGGAATAGACGGGGAGTAGTAGTTTGTAGTAGCAGTCATTTGTCTGACGCTTTGTTTAAAGTGACTTACTTTCCCCCCATACACATACACCACAAGCAATTTTGAGTTGAATGTCTTGCTCAAGGATACTTTGACGTGCATACAAGAGGAACCAAGGATGTAACCACCAGTTCTATTAACCGGGCATCTTTACTAATTTATTCTATACTCTATAGATTAATCTGAAGTTAAACACACCCCACTTACCACAATTTTCAACACATTTGTCAGAGTATTTGCTGAAGAGTGTCATTCCATCAGGACAAAAGCAGCCCTCAGTAATGAACTTCTTGGTGAGTTTGTCAGGACTGTAATATTTAAGAAATACATTAATGTTTTTCCTTTCAGATACCAAAAACTTATTAATGTTATTTAATGATAATAACATGCCAACATCAATTGCACGGGACAGCACAAAAGATAATCACACACACACACACACACAAAAAAAACATAGTTACATATAAATCATTACAGACCTCTACTATGAAAATAAGTAAGTATATAGCTCAAGCTCTGAACTTGAATTATGTTTTTGGCTAAAACTTTTGCTGCCTGCCTGCCTTGCTAACTTGCATCACCTCTGGACAACAACCATTTACATGGACCTTCCAGCCTGCTCACTCTACATTGCCTTCACTGGATTCAAGCCGTAGTTACCAGCTACACTCTCTGGCCTGCCTCCACTCGTTTTCTGAGACTGCATTTGTTATAAATTATCTTAACCCCACCCCTTCTGGGTTCCAACCTAGTTTTCGACAGAATTAAATTGGTGTCTGCACAATATGACCTGCTGCATACATAGTGAGAACAAAACTGGTCTCAGAACTGATCTTTGACGTATACAGCATGTCATCTCTACAGTAGGAGAAGGAAAAAAATTAATTGAAAGATAATTCTGTTTGACGGATAGGAAGAGAACCAATCCAGTTCTATTATGGAAATACTCTAAATACCACTATTTTAGCTCGTTCACTAGCATAGGATGATCAATGGTGTTTAAAGCAGCACTAATGTCAAGCAGCACCAAGACATATTATTATGTCCTTAGTAAACTTTAGAAGAGCTGTTTCAGAGTTGAAGTTGTGTGATTAATGTGTTTTAAGGGTAATTCTGAGACTGTTCTGAAGGTTTTTAAACTGACAGACAAAGGCCAGGTCCTATTAGCACTGACTGAATAGATTTGATTTTTAAATTGGGACACATATGGAACACAGAAACTGTTAAAATATGGTGCTAACTTAACTAATACACTGTTTTCTTTAATAATTACTATCCTATTATCGAGTATGATATGTATGTTTGATATGAACACAAAAAGACTTAATAGGCTTCCTTTTCATTAAAACTTACCAGTCTTCACAGGTTCGCTGTTCTGCAGGACCACATGGCTTGTAAACTTTGTTTGATGGGCAGTCACTGGCTGTTGGTAAAGAAAATATCTCAATATAATTGTTGAATTTATTTAAATACCACTTACAAACTGTATGTGACAAAGTGTAAAGTAACCTTTCCAATGTGTACTAAAAAGAAAAGAATTTAACTTAAAATAATGAGTGGTTGCTTACCACACAGTGTGGTGTGATTCCTCCACTGAAGGCAAACCCCAGCCTGAGCACAGGCAGCAGCATAAGTCTGCAAACTTGAGCATTCCACATTTGGGTTGGAAACATAGCAGCTATCAAAAACACAGCCTTGGTAGAAATTGTCAGGAGAGACAAAGCGATGGCACTCTGCAAAGACACTGTGAAAAAATTAACATGTCAATTAATGTATTTTCATTGCTTACATTAAAGTTACGGGGATGAATGTGCACTACAACAATCGATTAGAGAACATGTACCTGCTCTTCAGCAGCTTACACATGGAGTCTGGCTTTCTCTGGCATGGACTGGATGACGGAGACGGCGGTACAGATGGGCAGTTGGGTTGGGAAATGTTTATTGCAACCCAATAGTTGGCCATCTCTGCACAGCTTTTCACAAACCTGCCTCCAGGCAACATGCAGTCATCAGTCTGGTTGTTATTGCATGTTCCTGTCAGTAGAATCACAACACAGTTAATATTGGAGTGTAAACTCAAGAAAATTATTTAATATGGCAACTGGAGAGAGAGAAATGTTCTTACCACAATGTCCCTGTGTGTTTCTGCCAAAAAACTGAAAGGGAAGGGCAACACTAAAGCCAGTTATTCCAAAACGAATTACCACTTTTATGTCAGGGATCTCCAACACCAGGTTAATACCAGAATTCGAAATTGTAACACCTTGTTGTGAATAAGGTAGTTTCAGAGGTGCTTCATCTTTGAGCACCTACAGGGAAAATATAAATATACAATATATCAATATAATACTTTAAAACAACTTGTTTATATTACAATTATTCCATGGAAATGTGGCCTATACATTGACAGTAATAATCTACTCTAGTTTATGGCGTGCATTTAAAAAAATATATTTGATGATGATGAGGATTTCACACAGTCTTGTTTTACCTCCAACTCTGGTGCTCCAATGACGTTATGATTCTTCAGTTTGAAAAAATGTGATCCATAAAATACAATTATAGATCGAGGACAAGAAACATTGTCAGTGAGAGCACAAAAGACATTGTCAATATAAATCTTCAAGTTATATTTTGGTGAAATCTCTTCCATCAAGACATAAGTACAGTTTCCTTGATAAGTGTAGTAAAGTCCATCAAATGTGATGTAATGAGGATCTCCCCAGCCTGTACATACACCTGTACACAAACAAAAAGCTGTAAGTTCTATAGTGATCATACTTTTTGAAGCATTCTTTTAAATACAGAAAAACTTACAGTCACAAGCGTAATGTTGGCAGCAGTGGTACTCATCGTACACAAGAACTGGTTTATTTTTATTGGCACAAGTGATGTTCGCTATGGGTGGACATTCAAGAGGAATTATATCAATCCTGTTGTTCCCAATGCATCTGGCCATGGTGCAGTTGTCCAGACGAAATGTCTCATTTTGCTGATTTAAAAAGAAAAATGGGTGATATGTTTCTTGCACAAAACACTACCTGTTATATATATGACAGAACATCCAGTCCAATCCAATCCAATCCAACATTATTATAAAGCACATTTAAAAACAACCAGGTAGACCAAAGGGGCCTGACATGAAGAGGCAATTCTGATTCAAATCTGATTCTGATTCTGATTCTGAATTCATACCATTGTCTCGGGGCTGCAACTGAGAAAGCCCAATCCCCCCTGTTCTTGTGCCATGTTTTAGGGATAACAAAGAGAAACTGGTCAACAGACCTCAATGACCTTGAAGGAGCATACAGCTTCAATAGATCAGCGATATAGGCTGGAGCTGGGCCATGAAGGGTTTTTAAAAAACAAGAAAAAAAGACAGAGTCTTAAAATTGATCCTAAAATTAACTGGGAGGCATTGAAGAGAGTCAAGAACAGGGGAGATGTGGTGTTGCTGACAAATTTCAGTAAGGAGACGAGCAGCAGCATTTTGAGCCAGTTGTAGTTGAGAGAGGGAGGCCTAGCACCTACATATAAATCATTACAATAATAAAAGTGCCCTGTGAAAATCTATAAATATATATATATACTATATCAGTGCAGGATAAAAGGGTTTTAGCATAGTCTGAAGTCTAATTTGAAAGAAACCAGCTTTCAAAACAGAATTTATCTGTTTCTCCAGTTTAGAATCGCAGTCCATTTTAGTGCCAACGTTTACTACACCAGACTTAACATAGGGTTCCAAACAGTGAGAGGCATTAGAAGCACCACTGGGTCAAAATACACGACCTTAGTTTTACGCTTGTTAAAAAGAAAAAATAATAAATGCCATCCAGGTGTTGATGTCGTGAAAACAGTCAAACAATCTGTTAAAGGAGCTACCACCATTCCTTTTAAAAGACAAGGAGATTTGCGAATCATCTATGTTAAAATGGAAACTGATGTTATGTCATTTTAAGATTGAGCCTAAGGGAAGCAAATAGAGGGAGAAAAGAATTGGCCCAAAACTCCACATGTGAGGGACAAAGGGTGAAGGAGAGTCACCAAAGCTGACTCTAAAATCTCTGTCTGACAAACATGACCTAAACAATTCTAAGGCAGTGTCTTTAATCCCCACGTTGTGCTCAAGGTGAGAAATAAGTATACTGTGGTCAGCTGTGTCAAACGCTGCTGTAAGATCTAAAAGAAAAAGAATCACAGAATCTTCAGAGTTTGATGAGACTAAAATATCCCCAAAAAACTCTTAAAATTGTAGATTCTGTGCTATAAAATGCCTTAAGACCACACTGGAACACGTCAAGAACACCTGGGATTGCAACTGTAAAAAACATCCTTCTCTAAAATCTTAAGAGACAAAGGGAAGTTTAGAGATAGGGCGATACTTCATGTCCAGATCATTTTTTTAATGAGTGGCTGCACCACTGCTTGTTTAAAATAGGGTGTTACAGAACCTGAAGTAAGGCTGCAATTTATGATTTCTTGGATATTAGGTCCAATAGTGTCCCATACCTCTTAAAAAGGCAAGTTGAGACAATGTCAATGGGACACACTCAGGGTTTCAAATGTGCGACAATATTTTTAAGAATAGAGACGATATAGGCTCAAACTGGGTAAAAACTGCTGCACACTCTATGGAAATGGAGGGGTCAAACACAGTTGGTGACTCTGAGAGTTAAAATATGTGCAATCAAGTGTTAAGAAATCTGAAGAAGCGCTCCACCCACCAGCATTCAGCCAGTCACATTCAGTCACAAATAAAGAAATCCAAGTCATGACAGGAGAACTCATTTAGGATAAAGGTCTCATTCATTAGCAATCTAACATTGACCAGGGCAGCTCTAAGAGGAGGGTAGGGACTTGCCGTCAGAGGTACTCAAATCAGCGGCTGAAGATATATGTGGTTAATGCAGGTGAAAATCGGCGAGGAAGCTGGGCCCCCACATCCAAGCTGACAATAGGTACTAACCAGGTGTCAGTAGGGTCCAGGGTGCACCAGGAAACATAGCAATGATGAAACAATCCATATTCAGCTAAGAAACAACGGGGGTCTGACTAATTCCAGGATAGAGATAGGATTAACATGAATCTATGTGTTTCTATGTGCTTGTCTTACCACAATTTTCCAGCGAGGGCAAGAAGGTGGTGAAGGTTGAGGAGTAGTGGTTGGGGTGGATGCAGATTTAGATGTGTTGAATGTGGTTGTCCGGTTAGTAGGTGTTGTCAATATGCTTGTTGTGGTGGTAGTAGTAAGTTCAGTTGGTGGTGTTGTTGACATTGTGGTTGTAGTTGGCACTTCAGTTGTAGTAGTAGGTTCAGGTGGTGTTGTAGATTTAGATGTTGTTGTAGTTGGAACTTCAGTTGTAGCAGTAGGTTTAGTTAGTGGTGTTGTCGATCTTGTGGTTGTAGTTGTCACTTTAGTTGTAGTAGTAGGTTCAGGTGGTGTTGTAGATTTAGATGTTGTTGGGGTTGGAACTGGTGTTGTAGATTCTGTGGTTGTAATTGGAACTTCAGTTGTAGCAGTAGGTTTAGTTAGTGGTGTTGTCGATCTTGTGATTGTAGTTGTCACTTCAGTTGTAGTAGTAGGTTCAGTTGGAGTTGTAGATTTAGATGTTGTTGTGGTTGGAACCGGTGTTGTAGATTCTGTGGTTGTAGATGGAACTTCAGTTGTTGTTGTAGGTACAGTATGTGGTGTTGAAGACATTGTGGTTGTAGTTGGCACTTCAGTTGTAGTAGTAGGTTCAGTTGGTGTTGTTGTAGGTTTAGTAGGTGGTGTTGTAGACATTGTGGATGTAGTTGGCGCTTCAGTTGTAGCAGTAGATTCAGTTGGGGTTGTTGTAGTCTTTGGTGTTGTTATCGTTGTCGCTTCAGTTGTAGCAGTAGGTTTAGTTAGTGGTGTTGTCGATCTTGTGATTGTAGTTGTCACTTCAGTTGTAGTAGTAGGTTCAGTTGGAGTTGTAGATTTAGATGTTGTTGTGGTTGGAACTGGTGTTGTAGATTCTGTGGTTGTAGTTGGAACTTCAGTTGTAGTACTAGGTTTAGTAGTGACGGGAGTAGTTGTACATGGTTCATCTACCATTTTGCAACATTGTACTCTGATCCTATAGTTAAAGCACTTCAGTGGAGGACTTATCTGGTCCTTTTGTTGACATGTTAAACCATTTTTCAGATCACAAGTAACAACTTGGCCAGTTTCACTCACAAAGTCATTGAAGTTTTTCCTAGTGTCAACTGTCGATCCACATTCAATGTTGCTCGGATCTTGACATACCTGTTTACCGCTATTTCTGATGTTCTCATATGTTTCCAAGTCACTGTTGTCATTTTTTGGGTCATACACATCATACCACTCTGACCACTCACATCTATTCATTTTAGTATTACAGGGAGCAGGAGTAGTTGTTGAAGGAGTCGTAGATACTGTGACTGGTGTTGTTGTAGATTCTGTGGTTGTAGTTGGCACCTCAGTTGTAGTAGTAGATTCAGTTGGTGTTGTTGTAGGTTTAGTAGGTGGTGTTGTAGACATTGTGGATGTAGTTGGCACTTCAGTTGTAGCAGTAGATTCAGTTGGTGTTGTTGTAGTCTTTGGTGTTGTTGTAGTTGTGGCTTCAGTAGTAGTAGTAGGTTCAGTTGGTGTTGTAGATTTAGATGTTGTTGGGTTGGAACTGGTGTTGTAGATTCTGTGGTTGTAGTTGGAACTTCAGTTGTAGTTGTAGGTACAGTATGTGGTGTTGTGGACATTGTGGTTGTAGTTGGCACTTCAGTTGTAGTAGTAGGTTCAGTTGGTGTTGTTGTAGGTTTAGTAGGTGGTGTTGTAGACATTGTGGATGTAGTTGGCGCTTCAGTTGTAGCAGTAGATTCAGTTGGGGTTGTTGTAGGTTTAGTAGGTGGTGTTGTAGACATTGTGGATGTAGTTGGCGCTTCAGTTGTAGCAGTAGATTCAGTTGGGGTTGTTGTAGTCTTTGGTGTTGTTGTAGTTGTCGCTTCAGTTGTAGCAGAAGGTTTAGTTAGTGGCGTTGTCGATCTTGTGGTTGTAGTTGTCACTTCAGTTGTAGTAGTAGGTTCAGTTGGTGTTGTTGTAGACATTGTGGATGTAGTTGGCGCTTCAGTTGTAGTACTAAGTTTAGTAGTGACGGGAGTAGTTGTACATGGTTCATCTACCATTTTACAACATTGTACTCTGATCCTATAGTTAAAGCACTTCAGTGGAGGACTTATCTGGTCCTTTTGTTGACATGTTAAACCATTTTTCAGATCACAAGTAACAACTTGGCCAGTTTCACTCACAAAGTCATTGAAGTTTTTCCTAGTGTCAACTGTTGATCCACATTCAATGTTGCTCGGATCTTGACATACCTGTTTACCGCTATTTCTGATGTTCTCATATGTTTCCAAGTCACTGTTGTCATTTTTTGGGTCATACACATCATACCACTCTGACCACTCACATCTATTCATTTTAGTATTACAGGGAGCAGGAGTAGTTGTTGAAGGAGTCGTAGATACTGTGACTGGTGTTGTTGTAGATTCTGTGGTTGTAGTTGTCGCTTCAGTTGTAGCAGTAGGTTTAGTTGGTGTTGTTGTAGGTTTAGTAGGTGGTGTTGTAGACATTGTGGATGTTGTTGGCAATTCAGTTGTAGCAGTAGATTCAATTGGAGTTGTTGTAGTCTTTGGTGTTGTTGTAGTTGTCGCTTCAGTAGTAGTAGTAGGTTCAGTTGGTGTTGTAGATTTAGATGTTGTTGTGGTTGGAACTGGTGTTGTAGATTCTGTGGTTGTAGTTGGAACTTCAGTTGTTGTTGTAGGTACAGTATGTGGTGTTGTGGACATTGTGGTTGTAGTTGGCACTTCAGTTGTAGTAGTAGGTTCAGTTGGTGTTGTTGTAGGTTTAGTAGGTGGTGTTGTAGACATTGTGGATGTAGTTGGCGCTTCAGTTGTAGCAGTAGATTCAGTTGGGGTTGTTGTAGTCTTTGGTGTTGTTATCGTTGTCGCTTCAGTTGTAGCAGTAGGTTTAGTTAGTGGTGTTGTCGATCTTGTGGTTGTAGTTATCACTTCAGTTGTAGTAGTAGGTTCAGTTGGAGTTGTAGATTTAGATGTTGTTGTGGTTGGAACCGGTGTTGTAGATTCTGTGGTTGTAGTTGGAACTTCAGTTGTAGTACTAGGTTTAGTAGTGACGGGAGTAGTTGTACATGGTTCATCTACCATTTTACAACATTGTACTCTGATCCTATAGTTAAAGCACTTCAGTGGAGGACTTATCTGGTCCTTTTGTTGACATGTTAAACCATTTTTCAGATCACAAGTAACAACTTGGCCAGTTTCACTCACAAAGTCATTGAAGTTTTTCCTAGTGTCAACTGTTGATCCACATTCAATGTTGCTCGGATCTTGACATACCTGTTTACCGCTATTTCTGATGTTCTCATATGTTTCCAAGTCACTGTTGTCATTTTTGGGTCATACACATCATACCACTCTGACCACTCACATCTATTCATTTTAGTATTACAGGGAGCAGGAGTAGTTGTTGAAGGAGTCGTAGATACTGTGACTGGTGTTGTTGTAGATTCTGTGGTTGTAGTTGGCACCTCAGTTGTAGTAGTAGATTCAGTTGGTGTTGTTGTAGGTTTAGTAGGTGGTGTTGTAGACATTGTGGATGTAGTTGGCGCTTCAGTTGTAGCAGTAGATTCAGTTGGGGTTGTTGTAGTCTTTGGTGTTGTTGTAGTTGTCGCTTCAGTTGTAGTAGTAGGTTCAGTTGGTGTTGTAGATTTAGATGTTGTTGTGGTTGGAACTGGTGTTGTAGATTCTGTGGTTGTAGTTGGAACTTCAGTTGTAGTAGTAGGTTCAGTTGGTGTTGTTGTAGGTTTAGTAGGTGGTGTTGTGAACATTGTGGATGTAGTTGGCGCTTCAGTTGTAGCAGTAGATTCAGTTGGGGTTGTTGTAGTCTTTGGTGTTGTTATCGTTGTCGCTTCAGTTGTAGCAGTAGGTTTAGTTAGTGGTGTTGTCGATCTTGTGGTTGTAGTTATCACTTCAGTTGTAGTAGTAGGTTCAGTTGGAGTTGTAGATTTAGATGTTGTTGTGGTTGGAACCGGTGTTGTAGATTCTGTGGTTGTAGTTGGAACTTCAGTTGTAGTACTAAGTTTAGTAGTGACGGGAGTAGTTGTACATGGTTCATCTACCATTTTACAACATTGTACTCTGATCCTATAGTTAAAGCACTTCAGTGGAGGACTTATCTGGTCCTTTTGTTGACATGTTAAACCATTTTTCAGATCACAAGTAACAACTTGGCCAGTTTCACTCACAAAGTCATTGAAGTTTTTCCTAGTGTCAACTGTTGATCCACATTCAATGTTGCTCGGATCTTGACATACCTGTTTACCGCTATTTCTGATGTTCTCATATGTTTCCAAGTCACTGTTGTCATTTTTTGGGTCATACACATCATACCACTCTGACCACTCACATCTATTCATTTTAGTATTACAGGGAGCAGGAGTAGTTGTTGAAGGAGTCGTAGATACTGTGACTGGTGTTGTTGTAGATTCTGTGGTTGTAGTTGGCACCTCAGTTGTAGTAGTAGATTCAGTTGGTGTTGTTGTAGGTTTAGTAGGTGGTGTTGTAGACATTGTGGATGTAGTTGGCGCTTCAGTTGTAGCAGTAGATTCAGTTGGGGTTGTTGTAGTCTTTGGTGTTGTTGTAGTTGTCGCTTCAGTTGTAGTAGTAGGTTCAGTTGGTGTTGTAGATTTAGATGTTGTTGTGGTTGGAACTGGTGTTGTAGATTCTGTGGTTGTAGTTGGAACTTCAGTTGTAGTAGTAGGTTCAGTTGGTGTTGTTGTAGGTTTAGTAGGTGGTGTTGTGAACATTGTGGATGTAGTTGGCGCTTCAGTTGTAGCAGTAGATTCAGTTGGGGTTGTTGTAGTCTTTGGTGTTGTTATCGTTGTCGCTTCAGTTGTAGCAGTAGGTTTAGTTAGTGGTGTTGTCGATCTTGTGGTTGTAGTTATCACTTCAGTTGTAGTAGTAGGTTCAGTTGGAGTTGTAGATTTAGATGTTGTTGTGGTTGGAACCGGTGTTGTAGATTCTGTGGTTGTAGTTGGAACTTCAGTTGTAGTACTAAGTTTAGTAGTGACGGGAGTAGTTGTACATGGTTCATCTACCATTTTACAACATTGTACTCTGATCCTATAGTTAAAGCACTTCAGTGGAGGACTTATCTGGTCCTTTTGTTGACATGTTAAACCATTTTTCAGATCACAAGTAACAACTTGGCCAGTTTCACTCACAAAGTCATTGAAGTTTTTCCTAGTGTCAACTGTCGATCCACATTCAATGTTGCTCGGATCTTGACATACCTGTTTACCGCTATTTCTGATGTTCTCATATGTTTCCAAGTCACTGTTGTCATTTTTTGGGTCATACACATCATACCACTCTGACCACTCACATCTATTCATTTTAGTATTACAGGGAGCAGGAGTAGTTGTTGAAGGAGTCGTAGATACTGTGACTGGTGTTGTTGTAGATTCTGTGGTTGTAGTTGGCACCTCAGTTGTAGTAGTAGATTCAGTTGGTGTTGTTGTAGGTTTAGTAGGTGGTGTTGTAGACATTGTGGATGTAGTTGGCACTTCAGTTGTAGCAGTAGATTCAGTTGGTGTTGTTGTAGTCTTTGGTGTTGTTGTAGTTGTGGCTTCAGTAGTAGTAGTAGGTTCAGTTGGTGTTGTAGATTTAGATGTTGTTGTGGTTGGAACTGGTGTTGTAGATTCTGTGGTTGTAGTTGGAACTTCAGTTGTAGTTGTAGGTACAGTATGTGGTGTTGTGGACATTGTGGTTGTAGTTGGCACTTCAGTTGTAGTAGTAGGTTCAGTTGGTGTTGTTGTAGGTTTAGTAGGTGGTGTTGAAGACATTGTGGATGTAGTTGGCGCTTCAGTTGTAGCAGTAGATTCAGTTGGGATTGTTGTAGGTTTAGTAGGTGGTGTTGTAGACATTGTGGATGTAGTTGTCGCTTCAGTTGTAGCAGTAGGTTTAGTTAGTGGCGTTGTCGATCTTGTGGTTGTAGTTGTCACTTCAGTTGTAGTAGTAGGTTCAGTTGGTGTTGTTGTAGGTTTAGTATGTGGTGTTGTAGACATTGTGGTTGAAGTTGGAACTTCAGTTGTTGTAGTAGGTTCAGTATGTGGTGTTGTAGACATTGTGGTTGTAGTTGGAACTTCAGTTGTAGTACTAAGTTTAGTAGTGACGGGAGTAGTTGTACATGGTTCATCTACCATTTTACAACATTGTACTCTGATCCTATAGTTAAAGCACTTCAGTGGAGGACTTATCTGGTCTTTTGTTGACATGTTAAACCATTTTTCAGATCACAAGTAACAACTTGGCCAGTTTCACTCACAAAGTCATTGAAGTTTTTCCTAGTGTCAACTGTCGATCCACATTCAATGTTGCTCGGATCTTGACATACCTGTTTACCGCTATTTCTGATGTTCTCATATGTTTCCAAGTCACTGTTGTCATTTTTTGGGTCATACACATCATACCACTCTGACCACTCACATCTATTCATTTTAGTATTACAGGGAGCAGGAGTAGTTGTTGAAGGAGTCGTAGATACTGTGACTGGTGTTGTTGTAGATTCTGTGGTTGTAGTTGGCACCTCAGTTGTAGTAGTAGATTCAGTTGGTGTTGTTGTAGGTTTAGTAGGTGGTGTTGTAGACATTGTGGATGTAGTTGGCACTTCAGTTGTAGCAGTAGATTCAGTTGGTGTTGTTGTAGTCTTTGGTGTTGTTGTAGTTGTGGCTTCAGTAGTAGTAGTAGGTTCAGTTGGTGTTGTAGATTTAGATGTTGTTGTGGTTGGAACTGGTGTTGTAGATTCTGTGGTTGTAGTTGGAACTTCAGTTGTAGTTGTAGGTACAGTATGTGGTGTTGTGGACATTGTGGTTGTAGTTGGCACTTCAGTTGTAGTAGTAGGTTCAGTTGGTGTTGTTGTAGGTTTAGTAGGTGGTGTTGTAGACATTGTGGATGTAGTTGGCGCTTCAGTTGTAGCAGTAGATTCAGTTGGTGTTGTTGTAGTCTTTGGTGTTGTTATCGTTGTCGCTTCAGTTGTAGCAGTAGGTTTAGTTAGTGGTGTTGTCGATCTTGTGATTGTAGTTGTCACTTCAGTTGTAGTAGTAGGTTCAGTTGGAGTTGTAGATTTAGATGTTGTTGTGGTTGGAACCGGTGTTGTAGATTCTGTGGTTGTAGTTGGAACTTCAGTTGTAGTACTAGGTTTAGTAGTGACGGGAGTAGTTGTACATGGTTCATCTACCATTTTACAACATTGTACTCTGATCCTATAGTTAAAGCACTTCAATGGAGGACTTATCTGGTCCTTTTGTTGACATGTTAAACCATTTTTCAGATCACAAGTAACAACTTGGCCAGTTTCACTCACAAAGTCATTGAAGTTTTTCCTAGTGTCAACTGTCGATCCACATTCAATGTTGCTCGGATCTTGACATACCTGTTTACCGCTATTTCTGATGTTCTCATATGTTTCCAAGTCACTGTTGTCATTTTTTGGGTCATACACATCATACCACTCTGACCACTCACATCTATTCATTTTAGTATTACAGGGAGCAGGAGTAGTTGTTGAAGGAGTCGTAGATACTGTGACTGGTGTTGTTGTAGATTCTGTGGTTGTAGTTGGCACCTCAGTTGTAGTAGTAGATTCAGTTGGTGTTGTTGTAGGTTTAGTAGGTGGTGTTGTAGACATTGTGGATGTAGTTGGCACTTCAGTTGTAGCAGTAGATTCAGTTGGTGTTGTTGTAGTCTTTGGTGTTGTTGTAGTTGTGGCTTCAGTAGTAGTAGTAGGTTCAGTTGGTGTTGTAGATTTAGATGTTGTTGTGGTTGGAACTGGTGTTGTAGATTCTGTGGTTGTAGTTGGAACTTCAGTTGTAGTTGTAGGTACAGTATGTGGTGTTGTGGACATTGTGGTTGTAGTTGGCACTTCAGTTGTAGTAGTAGGTTCAGTTGGTGTTGTTGTAGGTTTAGTAGGTGGTGTTGTAGACATTGTGGATGTAGTTGGCGCTTCAGTTGTAGCAGTAGATTCAGTTGGGGTTGTTGTAGGTTTAGTAGGTGGTGTTGTAGACATTGTGGATGTAGTTGGCGCTTCAGTTGTAGCAGTAGATTCAGTTGGGGTTGTTGTAGTCTTTGGTGTTGTTGTAGTTGTCGCTTCAGTTGTAGCAGTAGGTTTAGTTAGTGGCGTTGTCGATCTTGTGGTTGTAGTTGTCACTTCAGTTGTAGTAGTAGGTTCAGTTGGTGTTGTTGTAGGTTTAGTATGTGGTGTTGTAGACATTGTGGTTGAAGTTGGAACTTCAGTTGTTGTAGTAGGTTCAGTATGTGGTGTTGTAAACATTGTGGTTGTAGTTGGAACTTCAGTTGTAGTACTAAGTTTAGTAGTGACGGGAGTAGTTGTACATGGTTCATCTACCATTTTACAACATTGTACTCTGATCCTATAGTTAAAGCACTTCAGTGGAGGACTTATCTGGTCCTTTTGTTGACATGTTAAACCATTTTTCAGATCACAAGTAACAACTTGGCCAGTTTCACTCACAAAGTCATTGAAGTTTTTCCTAGTGTCAACTGTCGATCCACATTCAATGTTGCTCGGATCTTGACATACCTGTTTACCGCTATTTCTGATGTTCTCATATGTTTCCAAGTCACTGTTGTCATTTTTTGGGTCATACACATCATACCACTCTGACCACTCACATCTATTCATTTTAGTATTACAGGGAGCAGGAGTAGTTGTTGAAGGAGTCGTAGATACTGTGACTGGTGTTGTTGTAGATTCTGTGGTTGTAGTTGTCGCTTCAGTTGTAGCAGTAGGTTTAGTTGGTGTTGTTGTAGGTTTAGTAGGTGGTGTTGTAGATATTGTGGATGTTGTTGGCAATTCAGTTGTAGCAGTAGATTCAATTGGAGTTGTTGTAGTCTTTGGTGTTGTTGTAGTTGTCGCTTCAGTAGTAGTAGTAGGTTCAGTTGGTGTTGTAGATTTAGATGTTGTTGTGGTTGGAACTGGTGTTGTAGATTTTGTGGTTGTAGTTGGAACTTCAGTTGTAGTTGTAGGTACAGTATGTGGTGTTGTGGACATTGTGGTTGTAGTTGGCACTTCAGTTGTAGTAGTAGGTTCAGTTGGTGTTGTTGTAGGTTTAGTAGGTGGTGTTGTAGACATTGTGGATGTAGTTGGCGCTTCAGTTGTAGCAGTAGATTCAGTTGGTGTTGTTGTAGTCTTTGGTGTTGTTATCGTTGTCGCTTCAGCTGTAGCAGTAGATTCAGTTGGGGTTGTTGTAGTCTTTGGTGTTGTTATCGTTGTCGCTTCAGTTGTAGCAGTAGGTTTAGTTAGTGGTGTTGTCGATCTTGTGATTGTAGTTGTCACTTCAGTTGTAGTAGTAGGTTCAGTTGGAGTTGTAGATTTAGATGTTGTTGTGGTTGGAACCGGTGTTGTAGATTCTGTGGTTGTAGTTGGAACTTCAGTTGTAGTACTAGGTTTAGTAGTGACGGGAGTAGTTGTACATGGTTCATCTACCATTTTACAACATTGTACTCTGATCCTATAGTTAAAGCACTTCAGTGGAGGACTTATCTGGTCCTTTTGTTGACATGTTAAACCATTTTTCAGATCACAAGTAACAACTTGGCCAGTTTCACTCACAAAGTCATTGAAGTTTTCCTAGTGTCAACTGTCGATCCACATTCAATGTTGCTCGGATCTTGACATACCTGTTTACCGCTATTTCTGATGTTCTCATATGTTTCCAAGTCACTGTTGTCATTTTTTGGGTCATACACATCATACCACTCTGACCACTCACATCTGTTCATTTTAGTATTACAGGGAGCAGGAGTAGTTGTTGAAGGAGTCGTAGATACTGTGACTGGTGTTGTTGTAGATTCTGTGGTTGTAGTTGGCACCTCAGTTGTAGTAGTAGATTCAGTTGGTGTTGTTGTAGGTTTAGTAGGTGGTGTTGTAGACATTGTGGATGTAGTTGGCACTTCAGTTGTAGCAGTAGATTCAGTTGGTGTTGTTGTAGTCTTTGGTGTTGTTGTAGTTGTGGCTTCAGTAGTAGTAGTAGGTTCAGTTGGTGTTGTAGATTTAGATGTTGTTGTGGTTGGAACTGGTGTTGTAGATTCTGTGGTTGTAGTTGGAACTTCAGTTGTAGTTGTAGGTACAGTATGTGGTGTTGTGGACATTGTGGTTGTAGTTGGCACTTCAGTTGTAGTAGTAGATTCAGTTGTTGTTGTTGTAGGTTTAGTAGGTGGTGTTGTAGACATTGTGGATGTAGTTGGCGCTTCAGTTGTAGCAGTAGATTCAGTTGTTGTTGTTGTAGGTTTAGTAGGTGGTGTTGTAGACATTGTGGATGTAGTTGGCGCTTCAGTTGTAGCAGTAGATTCAGTTGGGGTTGTTGTAGTCTTTGGTGTTGTTATCGTTGTCGCTTCAGTTGTAGCAGTAGGTTCATTTGGTGTTGTAGATTTAGATGTTGTTGTGGTTGGAACTGGTGTTGTAGATTCTGTGGTTGTAGTTGGAACTTCAGTTGTAGTTGTAGGTACAGTATGTGGTGTTGTGGACATTGTGGTTGTAGTTGGCACTTCAGTTGTAGTAGTAGATTCAGTTGTTGTAGTAGTATGTTCAGTTTGTGGTGTTGTAGACATTGTTGTTGTAGTTGGCACTTCAGTTGTAGCAGTAGATTCAGTTGGTGTTGTTGTAGGTTTAGTAGGTGGTGTTGTAGACATTGTGGTTGAAGTTGGAACTTCAGTTGTTGTAGTAGGTTCAGTATGTGGTGTTGTAGACATTGTGGTTGTAGTTGGAACTTCAGTTGTAGTACTAGGTTTAGTAGTGACAGGAGTAGTTGTACATGGTTCATCTACCATTTTACAACATTGTACTCTGATCCTATAGTTAAAGCACTTCAGTGGAGGACTTATCTGGTCCTTTTGTTGACATGTTAAACCATTTTTCAAATCACAAGTAACAACTTGGCCAGTTTCACTCACAAAATCATTGAAGTTTTCCTAGTGTCAACTGTTGATCCACATTCAATGTTGCTCGGATCTTGACATACCTGTTTACCGCTATTTCTGATGTTCTCATATGTTTCCAAGTCACTGTTGTCATTTTTGGGTCATACACATCATACCACTCTGACCACTCACATCTGTTCATTTTAGTATTACAGGGAGCAGGAGTAGTTGTTGAAGGAGTCGTAGATACTGTGACTGGTGTTGTTGTAGATTCTGTGGTTGTAGTTGGCACCTCAGTTGTAGTAGTAGATTCAGTTGGTGTTGTTGTAGGTTTAGTAGGTGGTGTTGTAGACATTGTGGATGTAGTTGGCACTTCAGTTGTAGCAGTAGATTCAGTTGGTTTTGTTGTAGTCTTTGGTGTTGTTGTAGTTGTCGCTTCAGTAGTAGTAGTAGGTTCAGTTGGTGTTGTAGATTTAGATGTTGTTGTGGTTGGAACTGGTGTTGTAGATTCTGTGGTTGTAGTTGGAACTTCAGTTGTAGTTGTAGGTACAGTATGTGGTGTTGTGGACATTGTGGTTGTAGTTGGCACTTCAGTTGTAGTAGTAGATTCAGTTGTTGTTGTTGTAGGTTTAGTAGGTGGTGTTGTAGACATTGTGGATGTAGTTGGCGCTTCAGTTGTAGCAGTAGATTCAGTTGTTGTTGTTGTAGGTTTAGTAGGTGGTGTTGTAGACATTGTGGATGTAGTTGGCGCTTCAGTTGTAGCAGTAGATTCAGTTGTTGTTGTTGTAGGTTTAGTAGGTGGTGTTGTAGACATTGTGGATGTAGTTGGCGCTTCAGTTGTAGCAGTAGATTCAGTTGGGGTTGTTGTAGTCTTTGGTGTTGTTATCGTTGTCGCTTCAGTTGTAGCAGTAGGTTCAGTTGGTGTTGTAGATTTAGATGTTGTTGTGGTTGGAACTGGTGTTGTAGATTCTGTGGTTGTAGTTGGAACTTCAGTTGTTGTTGTAGGTACAGTATGTGGTGTTGTGGACATTGTGGTTGTAGTTGGCACTTCAGTTGTAGTAGTAGATTCAGTTGTTGTAGTAGTATGTTCAGTATGTGGTGTTGTAGACATTGTTGTTGTAGTTGGCACTTCAGTTGTAGCAGTAGATTCAGTTGGTGTTGTTGTAGGTTTAGTAGGTGGTGTTGTAGACATTGTGGTTGAAGTTGGAACTTCAGTTGTAGTAGGTTCAGTATGTGGTGTTGTAGACATTGTGGTTGTAGTTGGAACTTCAGTTGTAGTACTAGGTTTAGTAGTGACAGGAGTAGTTGTACATGGTTCATCTACCATTTTACAACATTGTACTCTGATCCTATAGTTAAAGCACTTCAGTGGAGGACTTATCTGGTCCTTTTGTTGACATGTTAAACCATTTTTCAGATCACAAGTAACAACTTGGCCAGTTTCACTCACAAAGTCATTGAAGTTTTTCCTAGTGTCAACTGTTGATCCACATTCAATGTTGCTCGGATCTTGACATACCTGTTTACCGCTATTTCTGATGTTCTCATATGTTTCCAAGTCACTGTTGTCATTTTTTGGGTCATACACATCATACCACTCTGACCACTCACATCTATTCATTTTAGTATTACAGGGAGCAGGAGTAGTTGTTGAAGGAGTCGTAGATACTGTGACTGGTGCTTTTGTAGATTCTGTGGTTGTAGTTGGCACCTCAGTTGTAGTAGTAGATTCAGTTGGTATTGTTGTAGGTTTAGTATGTGGTGTTGTAGACATTGTGGTTGTAGTTGGCACTTCAGTTGTAGCAGTAGATTCAGTTGGTGTTGTTGTAGTCTTTGGTGTTGTTGTAGTTGTCGCTTCAGTTGTAGTTGTAGGTTTAGTTAGTGGTGTTGTAGATCTTGTGGTTGTAGTTGTCGCTTCAGTTGTAGTAGTCGGTTCTGTTGGTGTTGTAGATTTAGATGTTGTTGTGGTTGGAACTGGTGTTGTAGATTCTGTGGTTGTAGTTGGAACTTCAGTTGTAGTACTAGGTTCAGTAGGTGGTGTTGTAGACCTTGTGGTAGTAGTTGGCACTTCATTTGTAGTAGTAGGTTCAGTAGTTGTAGTGATGACAATAACAGGCACCTTGGGTGGGCAGATTTCATTTTCAAATATCACTGTTTCATCTATGCACTTTGCAATGTTGCACATTCCCGAATGTTCAGTCACGTTGTAAATAACTTGACCTTCCTTATATCTAGTTCCATTGTAAAAGCAACCTTTACATCGGACCACGCATGTCCGGTTCTCCTCATCAAATATGGGCTTGTCTTCTGGGCATACAGGGTAACAACCTGCAAAAGCACAGTAGAAACATCACACATTATTTTCAGGCAGTAAAAGTTACTATTTAGATTGTATTTTAACGTTTGACAACTGGGACAGGCTGTTTGTAAACATAGTTTCTTAATGTGTCACAAGTTTGTCAAACAGGAGCAGTTCAACATAAGGAGATATTAAGATTTTTTATTAGCAAATTAATCAGTGGTAAGGTGAGCCATTGTGAGTTAACCTTTTACCTTCCAGGTGGGGTAAAGAGTTGCTGCAATTTCCTTGTGGATTGAAGCAGGTCTTATAGCAAGGTGTGTGGCAAGCGTTGTAGTGCCACTTGCATTCACCTGGGCTGTTGTAGTAGTCACAAAAGACAGCTAGAATAGAAGATACAATGGATGTTATGTTTTAAATAAAGGCCATGTTCATTTAAATTGTTAAATTAAAATAAGTAGATTAATGTCTTAATTGTCACTGAGAACACAAACTTCAAATTCCATCTGGTGTGTTCTTCCATTATATCTATTTTAGGCCATTAACAAAATAAGATTTTATATTACAAAATTACATTTATATTTAACTACACAAATCACTGCGGTGTTTAAAAATATACTTTTAACAAAGCATGCACAGATGCTCTCAGAGTTGCTGTCGTATATGTCAGCTTTCATTAGATTTGGTGTCCATTCACATATTAAATATTTAATAAAAAATTAACAGGGCAGAATATTAGATTTAGTCATTTTTATAAAGAAAAGAAGAGCAAACCATTCTCATATATACATCACATATCAAATCTCTAAATGCTGGTGTCATAAGAATTTGGGGATCTAAAAACATGGTCTTGGAAACCGCAGTTTAATCTGAGGGGATAATAGTTGTTTACTTACGACAGATTTCTGGAGTTCTCCATGCAACACAGACACCGGCCTCATTACAAGCTTGAGCATAAGATGCAACTGCTGTGCAGAAACACTCACAGTCTCCTCCAGAGTCGCAGGCACATGAGTCTGTCACACAGTTTTCATAAAATGGATGGGAATCTACCTGTTCGGTTATCAAAATATTTGACAGATAAAAAAAAATCTGTTTGATGTTTTCAATCATTTAACTTTATATGTGATAAATTAGAAAGAAATCTGCCATTACCTTATTGTGGCAGTCTTTGAAAGTACCATCCTTTGCAATTATAATGTTGCACATCATTTTTGCCCAGTGATGTCTAGTGGGTCTTGCTCCACAAGGGTCAACATTCATTTCCACATCTGGGCAGCTGCTTGACACTTTCCAGCTGTTTGCAAACTCTAATGGATTGCTCACTGCCAGCTGACCCTGGGTGGTGAAGTCATTCTGTCCATCACCATCAAAATCTCCACATAGGCCACATACCTCTCCCTGTATGGCCGAACAAACTTAGTCAGTTATAAATAATAATAACAATATTCTATATCGATACAAGAAACAAGCATTTTTCAGGCATCAATAAACCTGTATTATGTTGACAAGCACAATATTCTATTGTATTTACATCATATGTAATAAATTGGAATTGGAATAAGTTCCTTAAGGACTTTTTCTGCAATGTGTACATGCTGTACATCAGTGCCATTGTTCTCCTAAAGCTTTTTAAGTGAAGAAAATGATCAGCAAAGACAGATAAACTACAGATGAGAAAAAGATGGTCCATCATATCAAAACTCTAAGCTCTTACTCTGAGAAATTTCAGTCATCATCACTGCAACAATGACTGTGACTCACTTTGTGCTGTGGTTCAAGGAGGATGCGAACAGTTGTTTTGCGATCCCACATCACTGTCAGACCAATGGCAGATTCTATAACCAGATACAACCCAATCCTCCTTATTTTGTACTGAATCTGAGGGCCATCTCCAAGGTCCTCTTCCTTATAGTGACCCTTTGATAGTTTGACTTCCATTCGCTGCAATGTTAAAGAGATTTTGTTGCTTTCATTGTGATTGTAAAAACTGCAGCTTGATATATGACATAATTCGTTAAATTGTGCTCAATATGTTAGGCATAGAATATATATCAGGTGCTGGTATTTTGTCTTACCCCCAGTTGGATTCTAACAGTTTTAGAGCATGTGGTGCCTGTAGTTCCACATGGTACATTTTCTGTGATAACACCAAACTTGCCTTGCACTGTTTTATTGCCACAGTTGTTCTTAAAAAAGAGATATTCATTAAACATTTTGCAAGTTTACTTCATAGTAGACATGAGACCATTGATCAAATCAAACTTCAGATTGGCTTTTACTAATCCAGAATACTAACATTATTAAAGAAAAGCTAGAACATAAAATCATGGAAGATTTTGACATGCTTTGTTTACCT